TATTCGTACTCATAATAACCATGTCAGCAACAACGATGACGAGGAGAGCACTAACGTTGCTAACTTCACTGCTGCTGGCTGAAACTGCCAGTGGACTGATTCCAGCGTCGCCAGAACAGCAGACACGCCGTGCCATTCAATCACTGAAAACTGCCATTGCAAATCTTACACCTGACAATGAAGAAGAAAAACGAACCAAAAAGGTTCGATTGTATGTCGACTATCTGATTCCACTCCCTATAGAAACCAAAGCGGAAGATATTGATCCGTGGCCTGGTGGTTTGGCTCAGATGTATCCTTATGCCGAAGATATTGTGAAGGAGATCTTGCAAGGTGTTGTCGACAATCAAGCTGGACCATGCTCGTCACAGATTTTGAGCGCCGAGGACTGCTGTGGACTTTTTATTCAAGAATCGAGCACTTCTGCTAAGAACGACATTGCCGCAATGGTCTTTCCTGGTGTGGATCAATTGTCCCAGATCGAGCAAGTGGATGAAATGGTTGGGGATCAGCGTACCTTGATTATCTTCAACAAACAGTTTCAACGCCCAGTTGATTTTGGATTTTCGGGAAAGAACAATGCTCAATCTCAAAAAGTTATCTTTGATCAATATCAATACGGTTTTGCCTTTCAAGAGTTTGCCTGCAGAGGGGAAGATACCAAATTGACCTTCGAATATCCCAATTGGCAATCCTGTGTGATTTGTGAAGAAAATCGTGATGTAGGTCAGAAAGAAATTGCACTGCTAGAGCCTTCTCCAGAGCGACCATCCTACGAAGCTTTGGAACAAAAGATTAACGAAGTGCTTCCAGAACCGTTGTGGATGAGAATGATTGGAGAAGCTGAGGAGAAGGGACTCAAATTTCAACGGCGGCAATAATATCGAATAAAAAAATACTCCCCAGCCTAAAGGGTTATATTATAATACTGGAAATACGTATGCCCGCTCGTATTGCCACATAGCTGCTTTCTCAGAGTACTCCGCCAATTTATGAACCCGAGAACCTTCCTTGCACCACGCAGCTACTTCAGAGGTGTGCCGAAATTGAACGGTAATCTCTTTGGCCAATGGTTCGGCTTCTTTCGCGGGAGTCACGGCGGTCGCCGCGGCTGCTCCAACGCGCCTAATGTTCCTCTGGGTAGCAATAGCTGGTAGGAAATCCTGTTCCACCATGCGAAAATAAGTCCTTGAAAGTGGATACAGAATATCAGTATTGACTCTATGCTTGGGCACCGACCCGTCGTATTCAAAGCCACCCCTGGTCGGTGCCTCTCCCCATCGCTTCAGATCGTCACTATTCTTCACAATTTCCCAAGCATAGTTGGAATCTGTGAACACATCCACATGGATCTTGAACTCTTTCAGTTCGTCTTTGCTGCCTTCAACTTGATTTGCTTGCAGGACTTCTATCGCCAGCCGAAGTGCTTCCCGACAAGCATACAGTCCACAACGGTTCTTACTCGGTCGATTATACGGATAACCCAGCAGCATGGTTGCGTCGGCATAGTTGGTACCCACATCAGTATCGGTAGTACTGGGCATGAGTAAGTTAGAGAAGCATCGTTCGGCAGCTGTTCGCAAAAGTTTTGCACCTCTATGGCTACCCTGCAGCTGCGGAACATAAAGCGAAGAACCTCCAGCCTTTCTTCTCCCTCTGAGCCCGTCAACTTTTTTAGGAGGAAATACGGTACTGGCAACAAAGACCGCAAAGTAGAGGTTGTCTGGATCTCGCGTCTTGAGCACAAGGCCAGGCTCATCTGTCAATGCTAATGTGGATTTGAGTAAATCCACCAGACGAGTATTCGTTTTGTCAGGAACATAGCTAGCTCGAACGTTTCCAAGAAATGACTTTCGCCTCTGTTGCTCTCGCGACTGTCTCAAAGAGACCGATGAAATCCGCTTGACATTCGGTATGTTTTTGCTTGGAATACTGCCGTACCGGTAATACTTTCCATTGAACTCTCGTTTCGCCTTTATGATGTTGTACATGTTCTGCTTCCCTGTCCCAATTTCTAATGCTGCGGCTTCTACGCTCGGTAATGCTCGAACCACAGTGCCGTTCACAAGTTCCAAGACTTCTTTCTTTCTTCGAACTCCTGAAGTTTTCGACTCTGCATCAAAGACCTGGGCAAAGGTGGCGTTAGTTTCATTGAGTTGTTTTAATCGACGTTCAATGGTCTTCATTGGCCCCAACAACAAAGCTGGATTCTTTATGATAGCATCCCTTGCAGTGAAGTTTCCATCCGAAACCTCCTCCAGTATTTTCAGCTTCGGTTCCAGTGACTTTACAATACTGCCAGCGAAAACATAAGGTGATTTCATGAAGATCGTCGACAGCTCTTCTTCTGAGAGGCCCAGTCGTCGCTGCAGAAAATCAAGCTTCTGTTTCAAGTTCAGGTCCCAATTCATGAGAAGAATTTGTGGCATGCGGATAACGAGGTCTCGGATGTCGCCTACACTCAGTCCAAGCTTCTCACTAAGGCCACCAATCGTTGGAGAAATGGTCTTGTTCAAAGATCTGCCCAAGAGAGACGGGTTCGATAGCACCATTTTGGATACATTGTGCGTGGACAAGCCAATAGTGTCGCGGAAGAAAGTAATTTTCGGTTTCAGGTTTGATTCGACGCCATAGCACATCAGCGAAGGGAAAATCAAGCATGCTTTTCTAATTTCATCCATTGTCAGGTTGACTGGTGATGCGAAAAATAGGTAAGGTGAGTGCTTTCCTCATGGACAGTCAGCAACAACGAATTTGACATACCTTCAGTTGAAAGGAACCCCAGTTGTTTGTCCACTTTTGAAGTAGTGTACCCAAGGATCGTAGGACATTTGTTGACGAGTGTTTTCAAGTCTTGGGATGACAACAGCATCTTGGCTTGAAGATGATCCATGGAACTTGTCAGTTTGCACTCGGAGTAGTAAGACATTTGCTTGTTGACCTTTATAATATCATAAACCTCAGATGGGCTCAGACGCAGGCGCATTCTAAAGCAGTTCATTGCATCTGCTCTTAGCTGATTCCTCATTGATGACCGAGAAGTGGACAACTCCCAGTCTGGTTCCAGCTCGGAAGAAACCAATGATGCTGACAATGAATCCAGCATTATGCGACACTGATCCCAGGATACACCCAAGGAATGAAGAAAAGTGAACGACAGGAGGTCGGCAGCGCATGCTGAACTGAGCCAATAGTTCAGTTCGATCCGAGCTTCATTCGACAATTCAATGTCCAACTTCAATTGCTGGTAGAAATACAATGCTGACGGTTTGCCAGAATTGGAATCGCTGGGATAGAATTGCAACAAATGGCGAAGGGCCAAGATGGCAGCGACGGTTTGTGATTCAGTCAAGCCCACGCCGCATCCTTCATTACAGAACTTCACAACCCAATCCTCCTGAGTATACGAATATGGCTGCGGAGCAAGGAAGAAGATAATGCGCTCTCTGATCCAAATCTGATCTGCGACGGGGAACTTGTCGAAAAACGAAGATTGCAGCTTGGCATCCAGATTATTGATCACGGATTCAAACTTCTGCATTGTCTCGTCGTCCACATTAACTCGATAGGATAATTCTGTTTCCGTTGTAATGTTGTATGCGGAATCTGTTTGCAAACCTCCTCCAGCTATTAACGGAACATCTTTCGATTGTATTGACTGTTCTGTAGAGTCTAATTCATAGGCGTAATATCTACCCTTGAATAGTCGGCATGTCTGAATTACACGGTACATGTTGCCTGGAGAAGTCCCCGCTTCCTTTGATGCAATGTCCACACTGTCATATCTCTCCAGAATTTCATTAACTTCACTGATTGCAACAACTGATTTTCGTGTTGACCTCTCATTGGCTTCCTTTCGTTTCTCGAGAGATTGGAAACTGGCGCTTGTGGATAATGGTAGGAATTCAGCGTTTGGATACTTCCCAATAGCTTCATCTAGCCACAGGAAACTCTCTTTTACGACATCACCCTTACAAACCACATGGCGATGGAAATTTGAGGAGTACTGAATCGAATATCCGTCCTTAGTCTTTGCTTGAAGAATCGTTGGGGGTTGATGGACCTTTCGGGAGGGGAGAAATCCAACAGATGCGTAGATCAGTAATGCCAAAATGGCGATCTCAGCTTTCATCGCAGAATTCCTTCTCGCTCAGTGCTCTTGGTTGGATACTACAAATCCATGGCATTCGACTCAAGCACTAAATTTAGATTAGTTTGTTGCAAGATGGAAGATCAGATTGAACTATATATTCAATATTCCTTCTCGTACAGTATTTTCAAGATGCAATAATGATGATGTCATCACGCAGAAAAGAGGTCATTTCGGGGGAGGGGAGCTTTGAATTTTCACCATCGAAATATTGATCGGATAGATGATTGATGATAGTACCCTATCGGTACCAGGTACTGTGCGAATTGTACTATCTCGTGCCATGGATTCCGCACATTAGTTGGAATTAAATAGATCGCGATGCCTGTCTTTGATTGCGTTCTTGTATTAGTATGGTCTTATCGAAAACCATGACGAAATACTAAATTGTGCTCCTCGATGTAGTACTATGAAAGAATCCAACCGTGCAGCTTGACAAGATATGTATGGCCAATTGTCCCATCCTTTTAAAACATCATTTCAATCTTAACAATTCTTGCCAACATCATTCACCATGCTGGCACAGTTCTCCTTGCTGCGTTGTCCTCATTGTGGATATCCTCGTAGCTTGCATTTGTGACCTTATCAGCGCTGGGAACATCAGAGATGGCAATTACTTGGTCACTCTTCTACCGGATTGAGGTTCAATATGGAAACTCGCACAATACTATTTTATTACAGATCGATCAGCAGGAGGAAGCGAGTGACATAACCGGAACGATAAAAGTCTCAATCTTGAACTTCGATATCAATGGCATTCTCATACTGTATCTCTGCGTAGCAACGTCACCAGATTACCAGTATGATACGTGGTATCCACGGGTACCTGGCACTTGATTGATCGGTCACTGTGTCATTCTTCTACAGCGAAATTGAGCCCAGAAACTCTGTCGGGAATAAAAAGAGAGCTAGATCGCAGATGTGGAAGGGACTGACTGGAAAGAAAAAGTTTCGGCTGCAAATATATAAAAGTAAAACTCAATCATTTTTTAATGGCTAGCTAGTGGTTTCGAAAGTCCGGTGCGCATGCTTCGCGTTTCTCAATTACACCGTGCACAAAAGACTGGGAGAAAAACCCCTTTGGCACAACCATAAATGAATGCAACGGTCTTTGAGTCTCAAGCATCTTTTCTCGCAATAACTCGTTTCCACGTCGCACTTTTTCGGCACGAGTACCGGTAGTGATCAGTCATCATATCGCTCTTTGCCGTTCTCTTGCCTCATTTTCGAGTTTATGCAACATACAATAGGTAAGGAAGCTTCAGTGAAATGCGTAATGCCGTCCGCGATAAGCAGCTTCGTTTGAAGTCTCGATAGTATGATTAGACTTTTTGTAGCTTCATGGCTCACGGCGATCGACCACCAGAAACATCATCGTATGACAACTGCATACTCACAGCGTTAATCGCTCTGATTGTACAGGTACATTCACCACCATGATCGAGAAACGAAGCAAAGCCGAAAGTATCGAAACTACATCCAAAGAAGATGTGAGTTATGATCTGTCATCCAACAACGATAAGCCGAAAGGCACTCATAATACTACTACGGCAGAGCTTTTGCAAAACGACCCCAAGGTAAAAAGAATACGGAAGATCGCCATCGTTGTTCTTTTGACTGCCGCTGTTGGTGTCAGCGGCGGTATCTACACAAGCCTCGTGCGTTCGGAAGAGAGAGAATTCCAAAACCGATTCGAGGATCAAGCCAAGCAGATTGGACAAGCTCTCGAAGCAGAGCTTGACAACAAACTTCGAGCGATTGATGCGCTCTCTGTTACCATCACATCATTTGCTGGATCTCAAAGCGTACAATGGCCGAATATTACTGTGCCCGAGTTCTCTTATCGAGCAGCAAGCGCATTGAGTTTAGGGCGAGCTCTGTCAGTGGCTTTGTATCCCATCGTCTCATACGATCAAATGAGGCAATGGGAAATCTTTAGTGTTCAGAATCAGCAATGGGTAAAGGAGGTAGTTGCATTTCAAGCCAAATTTCCACAGGCCTTTCGTTCAAGCGTCAAAAAGGAACATAATATGGATGCGAGCAGAGCAGAGAGACATATGGTCACAAATTCCAGCGAATTGCTGCACAATATATCAGATGTAATCTTTCATTTTGATGATGATGGAATGCCCACAAGAATCAGCAATGAGCTCATGCTTCCCATGTGGCAACACGCTCCAGTACATCCAGGATTACCACGGACAAACTACGATGCATACGCAGTGGAACGGAATCGAGAAGCTCTCGACAAGGTCATGCAAAATCAGGCCTCTGTGCTTGGTCAATCCTACACGCTCGAGGAAAGTTGCTATGGGTGAGTGAAGCAGCTTTGCATGCATCCGCTTTTCTCAGTACCATAGAACATCCATGCTCACACTTCTTTTTCAATCGCTGTGCATATACCAGGCATGACTTTCCACCGATGAGCCCAGATTTGGAGACAGAGACATGGGATGATATTTGGACACAAATGGTGGCAATGAAAAACAATCACCAACACGGACACAGCGGACATACCGAAATCATGGACCACAGCGGACACATCGAGCTGAACCATAATCATCACGAGGTAGCTGGCCTCGAAGGACCTGCTGTCAACCTTTTTTATCCAGTCTTCTCGGACCTGAATGAGAACCGTACCGTGGTTTCTATTCTTGCGCTGACCTCCAAATGGGACTCCTTTCTTCTACCCAGTCTTCCTCCGGATCCAAACGGTCTTATGGTGACCATGAACAACGAATGCGGACAAAGCTTTACCTTCGAGATTACAGGAGAAGAAGTCATCTACTTGGGACCCGGTGACCATCACGAGGCCAAATACGGCAGCTTTGAGAAGCGGTTTCCTTTGACTCTCGACAGCTCAGTTTTTACCGAAGTCCCCATGGCAAATGAATACTGCACTTACACAGCCTCCGTCTATCCTTCGAGTCAGATGCGCGAAGAGTTTGCTTCCAACTCTCCAATGATCTACACTGTTTCTGTTGCGGTGATATTTTTCTTCACCATTTTCGTGTTTGTCTTCTATGACTACCTGGTTCAAGCAAGACAAAGATACTTGGTCGAGACTGCCTCAAAGTCCAATGCCATCATCAGCTCATTGTTTCCCCAGATTGTTCGCGATCGATTGATGGAAGGTGAAGGTCAGAACGCAAGGAAAAAGATATGGAGAACAGAAGCGGTGAATGGTGGGGCTGAAAAGCCAGCTGGACCACCAATCGCCAACTTCTTCGCCAATACCACTGTCATGTTTGGAGACATTGCTGGCTTTACCGCATGGAGCAGCTCGCGACAGCCGTCAGAAGTCTTCGCTCTTCTGGAGTCTCTTTACGGCAAGATGGATAGCATTGCCCGAGAGATGAAAGTGTTCAAGGTTGAAACGATTGGAGACTGTTATGTAGCAGTGACAGGTTTGCCAAATCCACAAGAGGATCATCATTTGCGTATGGTAAAGTTTGCAACTCGAGTTTTGAAGAGCATGGGACCGTTGACTAGGCAAATGGAAGTGAAGCTTGGACCTGGTACTACCAAACTTGGATTCCGTGTCGGCTTGCATTCCGGGCCAGTTACTGCTGGAGTGCTGCGAGGTGAAAAGTCTCGTTTCCAGCTTTTCGGCGACACTATGAACATGGCGTCTCGAATGGAATCTACTGGCAAGATAAACTTTATTCAAGTTTCAAACGCGACAGCAAGGCTTATTGTTGCCTCTGGTAAGGACCATTGGATTAGCAAACGCGAGGATATGGTCGAAGTCAAAGGAAAGGGAACTGTGCAAACGTACTGGGTTACAGATATCTGTGCTCAAAGAAGGCAGAGCAACGATAAAAGCACTTGTGAAAGCTCTGCGTCAGAGCGGAGATCGATGGACACGCTTTGCTCGAAAGACCAGGATGCAATAGCCAAGAACAACACAAGAAGGTCCTTGGTCGAATGGCAAGTTGAGTTACTCTCACAGTTGATCAAACAGATCGTAGCCAAGCGAAAAGACAGTCCTCGAAAATCGCTTCAGCCTTTCAATGGATGGGACTCCAAACATGCTACGCCACGTGATGAGATTGTCGAGGAGCTGCATCTGCCTTCGCTCAAACCTGGTACCACTACTAATCAAGATTCGAATCGAGTTAAGCTTTCTCAAAAAGTCCAAGATCAGTTGCATGACTTTGTGACTTCCATTGCAATGCTCTATCGTGACAACGGCTTTCATAACTATGAGCATGCATGCCATGTAACCATGAGCGCCAACAAGTTCCTCATGCGAGTTGTCAATCCACAAGGGAACGGATTCGAGGATTCGCTTCGAGCTTCACTTCGAGCCTTTCACAATCATGAATACGCGTACGGGTTGACTGGCGACCCATTGACGCAGTTTGCCATTATCTTCTCGGCATTGATTCATGATATCGATCATCAAGGGGTAAGCAACAAACAGCTGTCTGAAGAAGATAGTAGACTTGCAATGATGTACAATGGCAAAAGTCCAGCAGAGCAAAACTCGATTGACTTGGCCTTTGAAGTACTGGGCTCGTCACAATATCATGATTTGGTATCCTGCATATGCGCCAATGAGGAGGAACTTAAGCGCTTCCGACAGCTTGTTGTGAACTGCGTCATGGCAACCGACATTTTTGACAAGGATCTCTTGGCCATTCGAAACAAGAAATGGAAGAAGGCATTCAAAAGCGAGGAGGAGGAATCGTCTTCTGACCTGAAAGCGACTATTGTTATTGAGCACATCATTCAAGCTGCCGATGTGGCGCACACCATGCAACATTGGCATGTCTACCAAAAGTGGAACGAGAAACTCTTCTTCGAAATGTGTACTGCCCATGAGGCGGACCGAGGCCCCGCCAAAGACCCAGCTTTGGGTTGGTATGAAGGGGAGCTATGGTTCTTTGACAACTATGTGATACCGCTGGCAAAGAAGCTGGAAGAGTGTGGAGTATTTGGGGTATCTAGTGACGAATGCCTGAACTACGCTCTTGAAAATCGCAAGGAATGGGAAATTAGAGGAAGGGATCTTGTGACATCAATGAAAGAGCGCTATGCCAAGATGAGGAAGGAAGGGAAACGTGGTTCGCTGTAATTGAGAGAGCCACTGATTTTGAGAAACCGGTTGTCAAACATGATATTCGGCTTTTCCTGAAGAATGATGTTCATGGTGCACCTTTCATGAATCATGTCAAATAAACAGTATTGTAAGAAGTATAATATAAAATAATCTATAAATGTATTGGATCGCGTTATTGTTCAGTCTTGGGATGATGAATACCAGTGGCGAAACCTAATGAAATGTGAGAAGCGCGCGATGACTTCACGACTCGATGCGTCATAGTAATCAGTTTCCGAGTGAACACTGTGGTCACTATGACCAGATAAGACACGCCAACTTATCTAAAACATGGTGAAACTGCCTGAGCGGTATATTAGAGCAGACGCGACAATAAGTCTAAAAACAAAAAAAGAAGCTAGAACTGATCCAGAATTCGTTTCGGTTCTCCAAAACCCAGTCTTGCCTTTTTGTGGACGAAACGCATTCAAATACGGTGAAAAAGTTGTTCACTTTCATTGCCAAAAGTGAGCGGTGAGTAAGCGATAAACAAAAGATAGATACAATAATACACCATGAGCTTCACCTCGAACCATGGGAAGCCTCTGAATGGTGCTAGCGTTGCCACAAATTCAGTGAGCGGAGGTGGAATGACATCTTCCTCATCAGGGGCGGAAAGCAAAACAATGTCAGAGGTGCAAGAAACCACGCACATGCTACAAAGAGACCACAAGGTTAGAAGGATCCGAATCATGGCGATATCAGTCCTCTTCATTGCTGCTGCCTCGGTCTGTGGTGGAGTCTACACAAGCCTGAAACGATCCGAACGAAGGGAATTTGAAAACAGATTTGCGGATCAAGCTAGCCAAATCGGGCATGCTCTAGAAGCAGAACTGGACAACAAATTGAGAGCGATCGATGCGCTGTCAGTCACCATCACATCCTTTGCTCGATCACGAATGGGGCAATGGCCCAATGTCACAGTACCAGAATTCCCATACCGAGCTGCGAGTACCCTGAGTGTTGGAAGGGCGATTTCCGTAGCACTTCAACCAACGGTTTCAATGAATCAAGTATCCCAATGGGAAGCCTATAGCAACCAGCACCAACAATGGCAAAAAGAGGTATTGGAATTTCAAGCCAAGTATCCAGAAGCAATTAGACCCGAAAGTGTTGTTGATGATGGCCCGAATACTGGTTTCAACCGCAACGCCTTCAAACCAGAAGCTGCCAGCACGATTTCAGCAGACAGTATTTCCGACTTTGTTTATCGAATAGACAGCAATGGTTTTCCCACACGAGTGATCAGTGATGCCAAACAAGGTATCGCCCTTCCACTCTGGCAACATGCGCCAGTACACGCAGATGGACTATTGCCGAGAACCAACTTTGACACTTACAGTGTGGAGAAGAATGCTGGTGCTTTGGATCAAGTCATTCAGAATCACATGGCTGTACTTGGTAAAACATTTGAGCTCTCTGACAGCTCACAAGGGTGAGTCTTTTCTATACAATTGTTTCAATTAGTATCGCACGTGAAATATTGACACTCGTTGCCTTCGTTTTCCCCATCAGACACGACTTTCCTGAGATGGATGCTACTCTGGAGACCCAATCGTGGAATGATGTTTGGACAGAAAACGGGCCATCCACCTCGGCCATTCGAACGAGACAATCGCCGTCTTCTAATGTCAAACAGAATCAAGGATCCAATGGTGTATCGTCATCCTCACTTTCGAATGGACTGGATGGGCCTGCAGTCAACATTTTCTATCCAGTCTTCTCGGACTTGAACGACAATCGCACAGTGGTTGCCGTGCTTGCATTGACAACCAAATGGGATTCCTTTCTTCTACCGAATCTTCCGCCCGATCCAAACGGCCTCATTGTGACCTTGCGAAATGAATGCGATCAAAGCTTTTCCTTTGAGATCACCGGAGAAGAAGTCATCTACTTGGGAACAGGCGACTATCACGAAGAAGCCTATGACAAATATGGAAAAGACTTCATGTTGGTGGCTGATAGCTCGGTATTCACCGAAGTTCCAATGGCATCCAGCTATTGCAGCCATACGGCAACCGTCTACCCGTCGAGTCAGATGCGAGAACAGTTTGCTACGGACGCTCCAACCTTTTACACAGTCGGGGCCGCAATAATCTTTCTGTTCACCATGTTTGTCTTTGTCTTTTATGACTACCTGGTTCAGAGACGTCAGAACCATCTCGCTGACAAGGCCTCCAAAACAAATGCCATCATCAGCTCGTTGTTTCCCAAGATTGTCCGCGACAGATTGTTGGAAGGAGAAGGAGGAAACAACACGTCAGGAATGGCAGGCATTATGAAAGTCAACGGCGACACGGTGGGAAAGCCCGCTGGACCACCAATCGCCAACTTCTTCGCCAATACCACTGTCATGTTTGGAGACATTGCTGGGTTTACGGCATGGAGTAGCTCGCGGCAGCCTTCGGAAGTCTTCACACTGTTAGAAACTCTTTACGGCAAGATTGATAGCATTGCACGAGAGATGCACGTCTTCAAGGTCGAAACGATCGGAGATTGCTATGTAGCAGTGACCGGTTTGCCAAATCCACAAGAGGATCACCATTTGCGCATGGTAAGCAACATCTTGTTCTGCAATTGGTTTGGGGTCATGATGTTGTCCTTGAATCATTATCTTTTTTCTCCGCCTCACTCACACTTCCATCGTCCACGTATTGATACTAGGTCAAGTTCGCAAAACGCGTATTGAAGTGCATGGGTCCGTTGACAAGGGAAATGGAAGTCATGCTTGGACCCGATACTACCAAGCTAGGATTCCGTATTGGACTTCATTCTGGACCAGTAACCGCTGGAGTTTTGCGAGGAGAAAAGTCTCGTTTCCAGCTTTTTGGAGACACTGTTAACATGGTAAGTTTTGGGTAGCAATTGGTGGACATACTATTCTGATGGTACAAATAGAAATCCGCTCACTTGTTTGATTCATTCGCTGATGATGATGTAGGCGTCTCGAATGGAATCGACTGGCAAACGCAACTACATCCAAGTGTCGAACTCAACTGCGAGCCTTCTTGCTGTCTCCGGTAAGGAGCATTGGATCACGAAGAGGGAAGATACTGTCCAAGCCAAAGGAAAGGGGTCAGTGCAAACATACTGGGTCAAGAAGATGGTTACACATGCTGAAAAGACCGATGCCAATAGCATCGGAGACAGTTCTCATAGCGAGAAGAAATCATCGAGCAAGACGTTTGTTTCTGTAGATGGCGACTTGCACGGTGAAAACGAGAATCGCATTCGCAAAACACTAATCGAATGGCAAGTTGAGCTACTTTCTCGGCTACTCAAGCGAATCGTTGCCAAGCGATCCTATCATTCAAATGAGGTCCAGCATTCGTTTGACGTCTTTGCGTCTGAAAAAACAATGCCTCGAGAAGAGATTGCGGATGAAGTCACGATGCCTTCGTTCAACTCCCGCGCAAGTCTACGAATTGCAACTTCTCAGTACACGCAACTTCCATCAGAAGTGCTCGATCAGCTTGAAGACTTTGTGACATCCGTAGCTTTTCTCTACCGCGACAACAGCTTTCACAACTATGAGCATGCATGCCACGTGACTATGAGCGCCAACAAGTTCCTGACCCGGGTAGTCGATCCGAAGGTCAACGGACTGGATGATTCATCTCCCCAAGCTCCTTCATACGAATATGCATATGGTTTGACTGGAGACCCACTGACACAGTTCGCCATCATCTTCTCCGCTTTGATCCATGACATTGATCACCAAGGAGTCAGCAACAAACAGCTCACCGACGAAAACAACAGAATCGCAGTCATGTACAATGGAAAGAGTCCCGCCGAGCAAAACTCGATAGACTTGGCCTTTGAAGTACTGGGCTCGTCACAATATCATGATTTGGTATCCTGCATATGCGCCAACGAGGAGGAACTTAAGCGCTTCCGACAGCTTGTTGTGAACTGCGTCATGGCAACCGACATTTTTGACAAGGATCTCTTGGCCATTCGAAACAAGAAATGGAAGAAGGCATTCAACAGTGAAGTCGAGGGGGGGTCCTCTTCCGACCTCAAGGCTACAATCGTCATTGAGCACATCATTCAAGCTGCCGATGTGGCGCACACCATGCAACATTGGCATGTCTACCAAAAGTGGAATGAGAAACTCTTCTTCGAAATGTGTACTGCCCATGAGACGGGCCGAGGCCCCGCCAAAGACCCAGCTTCGGGTTGGTACGAAGGGGAGCTATGGTTCTTTGACAATTATGTGATACCGCTGGCAAAGAAGCTGGAAGAGTGTGGAGTATTTGGGGTATCTAGTGACGAATGCCTGAACTACGCTCTTGAAAATCGCAAGGAATGGGAAACTAGAGGAAGAGATCTTGTGACATCAATGAAAGAACGCTATGTGGAGAAGAAGGAAGAGAAATCGAGTGGAATTGTTTAGAGCACAGATGAGAGAGTATTTATTGGATGAAGTCTTCGCAAGACGGAGCCGAGGAGCGCTACCGGTACTGTAGCTAGGCACGACGATGCATTCACTCTATTGAAGTGATTGGGGGGCTTCTTTCCCTTGCTATAGAAAAATGAAATGATAATAGAAACAGAATAGAATTTCGAGAAGGTACAAGTGAATCGGTGCCGTGTACTGCATTTTCTTACGACTACAGTAGCAGATTCTGGGTCTGACATTATCTTATCTTCCAGCAAGCACCGTGCTTCTGAACTTATCAGAGGGGAGCTGTTTTACAATTCCATAAATACAAAGCGTTTCTCGGTGAAACTCTTCCGTGATTTCTTGTTGAGCCTTGTTCTTTTCCGTGAAATTTCGCAAATGCCGTTCATTCTCACAAAGACGAAGTGCAACCGAAGCATAAAACCAGTACGCTTCAACTGTGACAACAATGAATAAGGATGACAAGAGCATCGATATTGATAAACTAGAGAATGATAATGCCACTAAATTCCTCGTCGATGACAGCTTTAAAGATAACTTTGATGATGAAGGTTCCACAAGTGAAACATCAGCGACTCATGTGGCTTCGAGTGCGGAGATGAGAGAGGCAATGAATGGTTTTCGTAGCGACAAAAGAGTTCGACTCCTGAGAGATGTAGCTTTGATGCTACTCTTACTCAGTGCTTTGTTTGTGTCGACAGGTGTATATTTCAGTCTCACGTCGTCAGAAAGACGTGAATTCGAGAATACCTTCGATGACCAAGCAACACAAGTGGGTCATGACCTTGCAAATCAATTGGAGGCAAAATTGCGGGCATTGGATGCATTCTCAGTTTCAATCACTTCTTATGCTCGACAAGTATCTACCAACTGGCCAAATATCACAGTGCCCGATTTTGCCGAAAGAGCAGCAAGCACATTGCGAGCCAGTAAGGGAACGGCTTTGGCAATACACCCCGTGGTGAAGGGCGAGGACTTGATGAAGTGGGAAGAGTATGCGGTACAAAACCAAGCTTGGCTAGAAGAATCTCTCGACTTCCAATCAAGACAGTCTCCAAAGGTACTAGGAGGCTCCAGCACTAGAAACAGTGCTGCAAACGTGATATCTCAGTTTGTATATCGAGTTGTTGATGGGAGTCCGACAGAAGTAGACGGCTCCGATACCCGACTCCCATTGTGGGAGCATTTCCCTTCTCATGATGGGCTGCCTCCAGTAAACTACGATGCACTGTCTAATCGGTTGCATGAAGATGCCCTCGATGTTGTGATGGACGATGGTTTACCGGTGCTTGGTCTGGCGTTCGATGTATCTAAGAGTTTCCATGGGTAAGAAGCTACAGGATGGGTGTCGTTTACGATTTTGAAGTTGTATCTAACTGGCAGTTCTGATTTAAAGCCTTGCAATTGACGTTCTCGAAGATGATTTTTACCTTTCGAACTGGTCTGAGATCTGGAGTTCGACTAACACCACCGACAGGGATGGTGAGCGAAAACTACGAAAATCGTATCTTGATCGCACGAACCCAGAGGCTGTCATCCACAAAGAAGACCTTGACCAACTAGACGGCCAACTGCAACACATTCCTGATGAGAGAAGCCGGCACAGCGATAATGATGGTCCAGCAGTCAACCTATGGTACCCCATACTCTCAAGTTCTTCTGAGAACCAGACTGTTGTAGCAGTTGTCAGTTTGACTGCAACCTTGGGCTCCTTCATCGATGCCAGTCTTTCGCACTTCAATGGTCTGGTTCTGGTCATCGCCAATGGTTGCAGGCAAGAGATGACTTTTGAATTCATCGATGGTGAGGCTATTTACCTCGGCCCTGGCGATTACCACGATCCAGAATTTGAAGATTACAGGCAGCGGTTCGATTTGATCCTAGCTGAAGATGTGCAATTATCAAGTACATTTTGCCCATATCGCGCATTTGTGTATCCGTCCAACCGCATGAGCCAAGAGTACGCTTCAGGAATGCCACCTTTCTTTTCGATTCTCATTGCAACAGTATTCCTCTTCACTATTTTTGTCTTCATGGCATACGACTATCTAGTCGACCGCCACCAAAAGAATCTTGCAGAAAAAGCCACCAGGACTACCGCGATTGTATCTAGTCTCTTTCCAAAAATTGTTCGAGATCGACTCTTCGAAGAGCAAACAAAAGCTAGTCCATTGCCCAAGAAAAGGCAATTCATGAATAGACCTCAACTACTCAGTGTCCAAGAATCCTCTCGCAATGTGAACAAGGTTCAAGGCTCTATTGCCGATCTTTTCCCTAACACAACCGTCATGTTTGGTGATATCGCTGGATTCACGGCATGGAGCAGTTCCAGACAACCATCCGAGGTTTTCATGCTCTTGGAAAATTTATATGGGGCACTTGATAAAATAGCAAGGGCAATGGATGTCTTCAAAGTTGAGACGATTGGAGATTGCTATGTAGCGGTAACCGGTTTGCCAAGTCCACAAGCAGACCACCATTTGCGTATGGTAAGCAAGATAGTATTTTTCGGGATGATGATGTTGTCTTCGTAAAATTTTTTCTTCCATCTGATTCTAACTCCACCTATCTTCGTCATGCGTTGCAGGTAAGATTTGCTCGATACGCACTCCAGAAAATATCTGTGGTGACCCATGACATGGAGGTGTCGTTGGGACCGGACACAGCCAACTTGGGATTTCGGATTGGGCTGCATTCTGGGCCGGTGACTGCGGGAGTACTCAGGGGAGAGAAAAGCAGGTTTCAATTGTTCGGAGACACAGTGAACACGGTAAGGGTGTTGCTATGGAATATAGTGGTGTGCTTGGACCACCTACTATCTTCATCGTTGGTTCGAATCTGTCGATCACTCATCCATTCCATCGCTCCACGCTTTCACAGGCATCTCGAATGGAGTCCCTGGGAAATCGAAACCAAATCCAGGTGTCCCAAGCGACAGCCGATCTTATTGCTGCCTCTGGGAAGTCGCATTGGATGAAGAAACGAGAAGAGCTGATTGAGGCAAAAGGAAAGGGGAAAGTGCAAACATACTGGATCAAGACTGCAAGCAAATCTTCCGATGGTGCTGAATCAAATGATTTCGATCCGCAACCCGAAGCTGCAATACATGATATCAAGCATAATGTCCGGCAGTCACTGATTGACTGGCAAGTAGAACTCCTTTCCAAACTTTTGAAGCAGATTGTACTGCATCGGAATTTGCTCCAACCCACGAAGTCAAAACCAATCAAGTACATGGAGACAAGCAAGTCTGTACCAAGAGATGAGATCGCAGAAAAGATCTCTATGCCCGCTTTTGATCCCACGAAGGAGACGTCCGAAAGTATGGAATCAGTCGATCTTCAGCAAACTGTTGTGAGACAACTGGAGGATCTAATTGCAACATATGCCGGTTTGTACCATGACAATCATTTCCACAGTTTTGACCACGCCTGTCACGTGACAATGAGCGCGAACAAACTGCTACAACGAATCGTCTTTCGGCCAAATGCAGAAAACGAGTTTTCTAAGGAGGCCCATGATTACACGTATGGCTTAGCGTCAGATCCCTTGACACAATTTGCGATTGTTTTCTCTGCAATTGTTCATGATCTAGACCATTCGGGAGTGAGTAATAGTCAGCTCACAAAGGAAAATAACCGCTTGGCGGTCATGTATGGCGGAAAGAGCGTCGCCGAACAAAACTCTGTCGATCTTGCATTCGAGGTGCTGATATCACAATCCTACTCGGACTTGGTTTCTTGCATTTGTGCCGACGAAAAGGAATACATCCGGTTCCGACAGCTCGTCATCAACTGTGTTATGGCTACTGACATGTAAGTTTCATGATACATTATCAAACATATGGATACACCAAATGCTCACATCATTGCCGTTGTCTCCTCCATCAGATTCGACAAGGATCTTCTGTCTCTTCGAAACTCGCGGTGGAACAAGGCCTTCAGTTGCGATGATGAGTCAGCATCGGACCTAAAGGCAACGATTGTGATTGAACACATCATTCAAGCTGCTGATGTTGCCCATACCATGCAGCATTGGCATGTGTACCAAAAGTGGAATGAAAAACTCTTTGCCGAGATGTGCGCAGCTTATGAGTCTGGTAGAGGGTGCGAAAAAAATCCAGCTACCACATGGTACGAGGGCGAGCTTTGGTTTTTTGACAACTATGTGATACCTTTGGCAAAGAAATTGGACGACTGCGGAGTCTTCGGGGTCAGCAGCGATGAGTGCTTGAACTACGCTGTTCAGAACCGCAGCGAATGGGCTTCGAAAGGCAAGGAGGTTGTAAAACAGTTCTCGAAAAAGTACAGTGGAACCATGAGTCAGTGAAAGAACCGGGGCTAGTTCTTTGCTGCTCCACTGAAGCAACATACTAGGAAACTAATACTAAATCCTGCATATATTCTCAAACGCTGTCCAAATCATTTTTTCGCATCCTGTAGTCCTAGAAGACTTCCGCGCATGCTTTTGGTTTGGAAGCATTCCATTGAACATACCGAACGTGGCAAAATCGACCCAAACATGCTACAATTCGATGACCTTCTGTACGTATCTCCTTTTGCGAAAGGAAAGAAAGCGGTTTATGAAAGGAATTCGATGATGCCATTGACAACAACGGTGCCCAGATTGCAGTTTCTCTAGCGACTTCTACACTATAGTATCCACTGAAGCTATAGCTAGACACCATAGCCATCCATTATTGCAAATCCTCTCCGTGGCATACGTTTGTGTGATGTGGAACATGCCTCCAGGGGCGCTCATGCATTCTAAAAAGGTGATGCTTCGAGGTACAGTAGTGGTGACTAGCCATTGAAAGTTTACATTGCGCTCGGTGCTTTATTGTAACCGACTTCACTGTTCCCTTGATCAGAATCTTGTTTATTTTAACGGGTTCAGGCCAGTGCCTTTTTTCAAATAGTACAAGTATACGATGCGTTCCACAATGCCCGGTGGGACATTTGCTATCTGCGAATTTCAGTGCCAGGCCCAGTATTGTACCACCGTACACGTACAGGTTTACCTGTTCCAGTACGATGGTACCGGTACCAGAAGCACGGGGCTCTATATATAAATATGCGCGCGGTTAAAATTTCTAGTAAAGACAGTCACGTGCCATTTTATCAGAACAGTCATGACACTTATTGAGATTGCATCTGCACATGATGTCACACACATTCTTTCTCTTGTTCGATCATGCCATGTCATAGAAAGAAAAAAGCCTTGCTACATCCATAATAATCCTACTTTCTTTTATTACAAGACATTATTATTATTGCAGTGTTCACAACATACACATCATTGCATTACATCTTCAAACAAGTTATCATGGAGTTGCCAAATCCTTCCAGTGACACCATCAGTGTCCACAGCAATAGCTCCCGGGGGGGCGACGACAGTCATTTCGGGTCAGACGATAATGACAATGAAACATTATCCACATTCAGTCACAATTCAAAGAGCAAAGGTTCCAGCTCTGACATGCGTGAGACCACCAAGATGCTCCAGAAGGACAAGTGGGTCATTCGGATACGTGTAGCGGCAGTCATTGTCATGCTGATGGCTGCTGTATCCGTCAGCTGTGTCGAGTACTTTGGGCTTGTGGGATCTGAGCAACTAGAATTTGAACATCGATACGAAGATCAAGCGGAACAGATTGGGCATGCGCTCCAATCTGAGTTGAAGGTGAAACTACGTGCTTTGGATTCTTTTTCGGTCGCCATTGCAGCCTACACGGTAGGCCAATATGTGCAATGGCCCAACATTTCATTGCCTGAGTTTGAGTTTCGGGCGGCTACAGCTTTGACCAATGGAGGGGGGTTATCCATTGGGTTACAGCCACTTGTGCACAAGGAGAACTTGAAGGAATGGGAAGAGTACTCGATTCAACACCAAGAGTGGCGAACGAAAGGTCTCGAGTTTCAACACATGTTTCCAGAAGCACTGCAAGTAGTTGCAGCTGGCGGCAACCGCAAACTACTCGGCGCAGGCAATCATTCTGAACCTACGGGTGAAGCAAATGATCACTCCGACAACTCATCCATTCCAGAAATTTCACAATACGTCTTTAAAGTGGTCGATGGCATTCCAGTTCGAGTGGAAGAGGATCTAATGATGCCAGTCTGGCAGTACAGTCCAATCGATAAGGGAATGCCATATGTGAACTACGATCAATACTCCAAAGACAGAAATAGGGATGCTTTGACTGAAGTTGTGAAGAAAGAGGTTGCCGTTTTAGGTCCATATTTTCCTCTTGCCGAGAGTTTTCACGGGTAAGTCTTCGAGTGTATGCTCTTTCGTTCTACAACAGGTCAGACTAAGTGAGGTGTTTTCATTCCGCTTTGTAGGCACGACTTTGACCCAGTCTCTTTCAGATTCGAGGAGAACACTTGGACTGAGATTTGGAACGGCGAAAGTACCGCCAATGCTGTAGACGAAAAGACCAACCCTCATAACAACATGGACGGTCCCGCTGTCAACATTTGGTATCCAGTCTTCTCTGAACTTGGTTCTGGAGACCGTACTGAAGTAGGTATTCTCAGTATGACAGCAAGATGGGACTCTTTCTTCCTTCCGCATTTGCCACCTAATCCGGTTGGACTCATGGTTGTGATGACCAATGCCTGTTCCGAGGGCTTCACCTTTGAGATCACTGGCGACGCGGTGACATACCTAGGGACCGGTGATTTCCACGACTCAGCCTTTGAGAGCTACCGAAGAGATTTCTCACTCACGGCTGAAGCTTCAGTATTTTCGGACATTCCCTTGTCGGCAACCTTTTGTCCCTACATGGCTGCTATTTACCCTTCTCAAAGCACGAGGGACTCGTACGAGACCGATAGACCAATCAACTACACAATCGGTGTTGCTTGCGTGTTTTTGTTCACAATCATAGTCTTCATTTCATATGATCATTTGGTGGAACGCCGTCAACGCTTTTTGGCAGACACGGCAGAAAAGACCCATGTTATAGTTTCCGCCATGTTTCCCAAGGTTGTTCGAGACAGACTCTTTGACGAGAATAACAACAAATCGAGAAGTGGAATCAACAAGTTTGTGTCAAACCAAAGCAGCAAGTCTTCAACACCCGCGAGACCCAAGGACACCCCAATCGCTGATCTTTACACCAACACGACTGTCATGTTTGGTGACATTTCTAGATTTACCGCTTGGAGCAGTACTCGTCAACCGACGGATGTATTCATCTTACTTGAAACACTTTACGGTGAATTCGATCGCATTGCGAGAGATATGGATGTGTTCAAGGTCGAGACGATCGGAGATTGCTATGTAGCAGTGACGGGCTTGCCGAATCCACGACATGATCATCATTTGCGTATGGTAAGATACATCATATTGTCTTGGATCAAGATGTTGCCATTGAATCAAATTTCTCAACCTTGCTCTCGCTATCACCCTCGTGACTAATTGACACTCCATCATTCCAGATTCGTTTCGCCAGACAAGCGTTGACACAGATGAGCGTTCTGACAAGAGAGCTTGAAGTCAGACTTGGACCAGACACAACAATGCTTGGTTTCCGCGTTGGTCTGAACTCTGGACCTGTCACTGCGGGTGTCCTTCGAGGCGAACGCAGTCGCTTCCAACTATTCGGCGATACAGTGAATACTGTAAGTTTTGCACTTTGATTATGCCATACTATCGATTACAATCGGTCAATCACTTACCCATGATATTGCATGACACCGCCTTACTAGGCTTCAAGAATGGAGTCAGCTGGAGCTGCCAACCGTATCCACATCGCTCAGGCTACTGCGGATCTTGTGATTGATTCCGGGAAAGGCCATTGGTTGAGAAAACGTGACGACTTGATCGAGGCGAAAGGCAAGGGCGAAGTCCAGACATACTGGGTCAAGGGCGGTAAGGCTGCTTCTTCAACAAAAACTGGCACCTCAAACGGATCTAGCAATTCTTTCCGTGCTCAAAAAGATAACAAGCGCAAGCTTGCAAAACAAGAACGGGTCCGACAGTCCCTGATCGACTGGCAAGTGGAACTCTTGTCCAAATTGATCAAGCAGATTGTAGGCCTTCGCAAAACAAAGACGGTGAAGAATCAAGACTTTGCCAATCACGTCGGACAAAAGCTACTACCAAGAGAAGAAATCGCCGAGCATATCCACATGCCTCCGTTTGATCCAGAAAAGGCCAAGACGGTATTGAAAGGCGGTGATGATCTCCCGGACTTGGTCACGTCGCAACTCAAGGATCTAATTTCCACCATTTCCAGTTTGTATCACAACAACAGCTTTCATAACTTCGACCATGCAAGTCACGTGACCATGAGTGCCAACAAGCTGCTGCAGCGAATTGTGACTCCGGCATTTCAAGAGAACGGAGAGTTCTTGAAGGAAGCACACGAATACACTTTCGGACTGACATCGGATCCATTGACGCAGTTTGCAATTCTCTTTTCCACGATCATTCACGACCTGGACCATAAAGGAGTAGGAAATCCGCAGCTGGTCAAAGAGAAGAATCGGCTTGCAACAATGTATGGAGGAAAGAGTGTCGCCGAGCAAAACTCGATTGATTTGGCGTTGGAGTTGCTGACTTCGTCCAGCTATTCGGATCTTTTGAGTTGTATATGTGCGGACGACGAGGATTTCCAACGGTTCCGCCAGCTCGTCATCAACTGCGTCATGGCGACGGATATGTAAGTCTCACCGAGTCGAATGGCGTTCGAAATCATGTGACCTATTGTACTGACATCCACTCGCAATTTCTACCGCACTTCGCAGTTTCGACAAGGAGCTTTTGACTCTACGCAACAATCGTTGGAAGAAAGCCTTCAGTGAGAACGACGAGTCAGCATCCGACCTCAAGGCAACCATTGTCATTGAGCATATCATTCAGGCTGCTGACGTTGCCCACACAATGCAGCATTGGCATGTGTACCAAAAGTGGAACGAGAAGCTGTTCTTTGAAATGAGAAAGGCATACGAAAGTGGTCGAGGGGGAGAGAAAGATCCTGCAGACACTTGGTACAATGGTGAGCTGTGGTTCTTTGATAACTACGTCATTCCATTGGCCAAGAAACTGGATGATTGTGGTGTGTTTGGTGTGTGCAGTGACGAGTGCTTGACTTATGCCAAGCAGAACCGCAAGGAATGGGAAGTGAAGGGTCGTATTGTGGTTGAGGCCATGTGCAAAAAGTACAGGGACGAGTATGAAATCAAAGAAGGGATTGATGAAGATGAAGAGGGTGATTCATCCGTTTAGAATGAAATGATATGGATGGTTCTGGCTACTTTCGTTCGGAAAGGGGAGATTTTGTAGTTAAAATATTGTGAAATAAGCGAATTCTGGTAACATTAGAGTGCACGAAATCAACAGCAACACACTGGTATATATATATATATCTGTAGCATTAGATACTTCGTCAACAAGCTTAGTTTCTCCTCCTCTCTTGTCAAGGCGAATGGCTGGTTTGTCATAGGTTATATATCATGGTTTTTGGCCGCGTTCTGTATAGGGAGTCTTCAATCGTGGAGATATGTGGTTGGCAAGAAAATTGTGCTGAATCCACACCTGTTAGATAATAAAAGACCCTACGATACTCTGAGACGATCAGTCTTCAGTTGTTCGGCGTAATGTAGTCCTAATCCTATGAACCTTAAAGTCGTTAATAAAACTTGCTTTAGTTGGGATAAGAGTTTTCGAATGACCAAAGCAAACTCATGCTTTCGGTCATCCCAAAACTCTCTACGCAGTTTTAAACTACTGTAATTCAATCGTTCATCTTTCGAACAACATCTGCCCATGACTGGTTCTCCATACTCTTTCGGTTGATGTATGACGGTTTAGACTCGTCACTATCTGACTCAGGGGAGTCGTCTGTACAACTTCCAACACGCTCCTTGACTGATTCTTCCTCATCATCCTCTAGTAGAGAATCGATGTGTTTGTATCCTAAAACCACATCGCGAAACTTTCGAAACAAACTACCTTGCAAAGAATTGGTAAAAAAATCCGCCAGCATCTTTGCGGTCGGACAGTACACCACATCGATTCCCTCGGACAGCAATCGATCCTTAATAAAATAAAAACGATTGTCGATGTGTTTTGACCTTTTTCCGGCTGACTTCTTACCGTTCAAAAGGATCTTCATGGCGCTCTGATTGTCCTGGTACAGTGTGTTCTTTTCCAGTTCAAAACCCTGCTGTTCCAAAAACATCCTCACCCAAATCATGTTCGGCAAAAAATCGCTCACGCCCACGACTTCTCCTTCAGTTGAGCTCTTCACATTAAGCCCCTGTTTCTTACACATGGTCGAAATCACCCCCCAGCCGAAAGAGATGCATCCTCCAGTGTGACTTTTGCAGTCGTCGTGGATTCCATACGAAACATCCACCCATGCTTGCATTCTTCTGATGTTGTCTCCACCAATGATTCTTGTTAAATCTATCGATCCTTTCAGATACTGCAAGACTCTCTTGAGCTTGACCCAATCGTCTTCATCTGGGCATCCTACTCTAGTGCACAAGTAACCGATGGCGGTTTGAATGTCTAGACGGCATCGTCTTGAGACGTACAAAAGTGACGCTGTTACGCTGTGAAAATTGTCAGCCCTTTCCTCGTTTAAATCTTTCGCAGCTTCTCTCACATCAAAAAGATAGGCCTTGGCAGGCGAAGTTGCCTCTCTATTGATATCATCCATAAACATATCGATCGCCTTCTGAATGTGTTTCTTCATGCTGATCTCCACCTTGCCGTCTTTGTATGTTATCTTCATCCCCAAAAACTCGTGCTCTTCGCCAAACTTGTTTGTCATCTTGCTGAACTTGGCTTCAATCTTCCCGATGATATCCTTTACAACCTCCAATTTCATATGGCTGATCTTGTTATCGTCTACATACCAGCAAATCGTGCATTGCTTTCCATCAATGACACAGTTGGCGACGCACAGATCGTATGGATTAAGCTTAAAACCCATATCCATGAGAGTTTCCGAGTAAAGTTCATACCATAGCATCGAGCTTTTTACGCACCCATATAGTGCTCTGTCCAATTGTACGTACAGCACTTTCTTGCCCTTCACGATGGTGACAAATTCCCTTAGACTGGGATCAAGATCACAGAAGATATTGACTTCGGGTCCCGAAATGCGCATGCTTACTCGATCTTTCATCTTTGCATTCAGGTACGCTCCTCTGACGTCGCTGGTGGCCTTAAACCTTCCCTCGATCGCGTCGACAATGCAGGTGATGAAAAGTGAATCTTAATCCACAGTAGGAGGAGCTGTCTCATCCTTGGTGTAGATTCCCCGCTGCACTCGACCGTTGAAAACGCTCCTAGCTCTTAGCACTGGATTCTCATCGGTGTGTCCTCTATTGATCTTTTCTTCAATAAGATTAATCATGTCTCCGGCTCCTCTCTTTTCTTCAAAAGAGATGCACATGAAGTAGTGACAGCCATCACTGCTTCCTCCAAGCATTGTTTTGATGTCAGGGGGTTATCTTCAGTTCTTTGAAGGAGATTGGATTTTCTATTGCCAAAAGTATTGAACGAAGGCTCACTCTGAAGGTTAAAAATGAAGGAGCGAACTTGGTGTTCATTGCTCTCGGAAATACAGCTCTTCATTTTTAAAGTGTCGTCTCAAGCAAGGCGTCAACAAGACCATTTTCGGAAGGACACATATCATCCAGTGAAGTGATGATGATGCGGCTGATGGATATTGAGCCACTTGGACGAAGGAGCGTGTTAGATATTATATGCGGTATAATATTTGACTGAGGTTTTTGAGATTCCAGATTCCTTGGTGAAAGTGAATTGACGCGATGACCAACCAATAACGTAGTGAAAAGAATTGTCCATTCTTTTCAGTAAACCATCTCTAGATTGATTGTTGTTGCAACTTTGATTGAGTGCAGAATAGTTGATACTATAGTTATGGAACTGAAGTAGATAGTCATCAGTGCGTGTAGACCTGATTGGTCACATGGACAATCCAGAGTTAATGACTCGCATCTGAATGATTATTTTGAAGATAGTCGTCCTATTTTCTATTTCTAACACACACCATCGTTGCGGCAGAGACAAGTGCAGCCTGCGAAAAGGATCCAGCTACTAGAAGCAGGAAGGACCCAGCTACTAGCCTATGGCTGCTCTGGTAAGAAAAGGACATTTTTTTCTTGCCTTTGGTCAAATCATTGGAAGACGCTGGACCACAGCGTTATTCACTCCTTCTTGTTTAAAAGACAAGTCAAGACTTCGCAGTTCTGATTCATGCGCAGGTTGATGGGACCCTTGTCAACCGGTTTCGTGCCGGTTACCGAAACGCGAACAGGTAATGAAATAGCTCCAGATTATTGTGATATTGTTTTTTATACATTTATCTGCCGTGTCTCAGCACACACGACTAACAAAAAAACATTAAATACCGCGTTAAGGTCGTGGTAACAATCCTTTTACTAGGGTAATGTACCCGGTACACGTGTACGCATCTTCTATGGGATACGTCACTCGTAGCGGTACCAGGTACTCGCTTAAAATGTTGAAGTTGAAAAACGCGAATCTGGATCATTATTCCTTGCAGCGGAAAGTGAAGGCACACACACTTTTAGTTTTGGCGGCGCAAGTTGAACAAAGGTTTTGCTCTATGTATCATGGGTTCGAGCTATCAAAAAAAATTAAATAGCCCTTGTGGTTCTGATGATGTGGACAGAACAATTGATCTTTACACCAAATATAATAACTCCGGAAGATTTTTTTTCTTCTGGCCATAAAATAATACCTCTAATGCAAACTCACCCACCATACCATTATACCGTATTTCACTAAGCAGGCACGATACATTACATTTTCAAACAAGTTATCATGGAGTTGCCACATCCTTCCGGAGACACCATCAGTGTCCACAGCAATAGCTCACGGGGCAATGACAGTTACATGGGCAATGATGACGACAATGAAACACTGTCAACATTCAGTCACACGTCCAAAAGCAAGGCATCTGGCGTGCGCGAAACCACAAATATGCTCCAGAAGGACAAGTGGGTCATTCGGATACGTGTAGCGGCAGTCATTGTCATGCTGATGGCTGCTGTATCCGTCAGCTGTGTCGAGTACTTTGGGCTTGTGGGATCTGAGCAACTCGAATTTGAACATCGATATGAAGATCAAGCGGAACAGCTGGGTCACGCGCTCCAATCTGAGTTGGGGGTAAAGCTGCGTGCTATGGATTCTTTTTCGGTCGCCATTTCATCCTACTCGATGAATGGATTCGTGCAATGGCCCAACATTTCATTGCCTGAGTTTGAGTTTCGGGCGGCTACAGCTTTGACCAATGGAGGGGGGTTATCCATTGGGTTACAGCCACTTGTGCACAAGGAGAACTTGAAGGAATGGGAAGAGTACTCGATTCAACACCAAGAGTGGCGAACGAAAGGTCTCGAGTTTCAACACATGTTTCCAGAAGCACTGCAAGTAGTTGCAGCTGGCGGCAACCGCAAACTACTCGGCGCAGGCAATCATTCTGAACCTACGGGTGAAGCAAATGATCACTCCGACAACTCATCCATTCCAGAAATTTCACAATACGTCTTTAAAGTGGTCGATGGCATTCCAGTTCGAGTGGAAGAGGATCTAATGATGCCAGTCTGGCAGTACAGTCCAATCGATAAGGGAATGCCATATGTGAACTACGATCAATACTCCAAAGACAGAAATAGGGATGCTTTGACTGAAGTTGTGAAGAAAGAGGTTGCCGTTTTAGGTCCATATTTTCCTCTTGCCGAGAGTTTTCACGGGTAAGTCTTCGAGTGTATGCTCTTTCGTTCTACAACAGGTCAGACTAAGTGAGGTGTTTTCATTCCGCTTTGTAGGCACGACTTTGACCCAGTCTCTTTCAGATTCGAGGAGAACACTTGGACTGAGATTTGGAACGGCGAAAGTACCGCCAATGCTGTAGACGAAAAGACCAACCCTCATAACAACATGGACGGTCCCGCTGTCAACATTTGGTATCCAGTCTTCTCTGAACTTGGTTCTGGAGACCGTACTGAAGTAGGTATTCTCAGTATGACAGCAAGATGGGACTCTTTCTTCCTTCCGCATTTGCCACCTAATCCGGTTGGACTCATGGTTGTGATGACCAATGCCTGTTCCGAGGGCTTCACCTTTGAGATCACTGGCGACGCGGTGACATACCTAGGGACCGGTGATTTCCACGACTCAGCCTTTGAGAGCTACCGAAGAGATTTCTCACTCACGGCTGAAGCTTCAGTATTTTCGGACATTCCCTTGTCGGCAACCTTTTGTCCCTACATGGCTGCTATTTACCCTTCTCAAAGCACGAGGGACTCGTACGAGACCGATAGACCAATCAACTACACAATCGGTGTTGCTTGCGTGTTTTTGTTCACAATCATAGTCTTCATTTCATATGATCATTTGGTGGAACGCCGTCAACGCTTTTTGGCAGACACGGCAGAAAAGACCCATGTTATAGTTTCCGCCATGTTTCCCAAGGTTGTTCGAGACAGACTCTTTGACGAGAATAACAACAAATCGAGAAGTGGAATCAACAAGTTTGTGTCAAACCAAAGCAGCAAGTCTTCAACACCCGCGAGACCCAAGGACACCCCAATCGCTGATCTTTACACCAACACGACTGTCATGTTTGGTGACATTTCTAGATTTACCGCTTGGAGCAGTACTCGTCAACCGACGGATGTATTCATCTTACTTGAAACACTTTACGGTGAATTCGATCGCATTGCGAGAGATATGGATGTGTTCAAGGTCGAGACGATCGGAGATTGCTATGTAGCAGTGACGGGCTTGCCGAATCCACGACATGATCATCATTTGCGTATGGTAAGATACATCATATTGTCTTGGATCAAGATGTTGCCATTGAATCAAATTTCTCAACCTTGCTCTCGCTATCACCCTCGTGACTAATTGACACTCCATCATTCCAGATTCGTTTCGCCAGACAAGCGTTGACACAGATGAGCGTTCTGACAAGAGAGCTTGAAGTCAGACTTGGACCAGACACAACAATGCTTGGTTTCCGCGTTGGTCTGAACTCTGGACCTGTCACTGCGGGTGTCCTTCGAGGCGAACGCAGTCGCTTCCAACTATTCGGCGATACAGTGAATACTGTAAGTTTTGCACTTTGATTATGCCATACTATCGATTACAATCGGTCAATCACTTACCCATGATATTGCATGACACCGCCTTACTAGGCTTCAAGAATGGAGTCAGCTGGAGCTGCCAACCGTATCCACATCGCTCAGGCTACTGCGGATCTTGTGATTGATTCCGGGAAAGGCCATTGGTTGAGAAAACGTGACGACTTGATCGAGGCGAAAGGCAAGGGCGAAGTCCAGACATACTGGGTCAAGGGCGGTAAGGCTGCTTCTTCAACAAAAACTGGCACCTCAAACGGATCTAGCAATTCTTTCCGTGCTCAAAAAGATAACAAGCGCAAGCTTGCAAAACAAGAACGGGTCCGACAGTCCCTGATCGACTGGCAAGTGGAACTCTTGTCCAAATTGATCAAGCAGATTGTAGGCCTTCGCAAAACAAAGACGGTGAAGAATCAAGACTTTGCCAATCACGTCGGACAAAAGCTACTACCAAGAGAAGAAATCGCCGAGCATATCCACATGCCTCCGTTTGATCCAGAAAAGGCCAAGACGGTATTGAAAGGCGGTGATGATCTCCCGGACTTGGTCACGTCGCAACTCAAGGATCTAATTTCCACCATTTCCAGTTTGTATCACAACAACAGCTTTCATAACTTCGACCATGCAAGTCACGTGACCATGAGTGCCAACAAGCTGCTGCAGCGGATTGTGACTCCGGCATTTCAAGAGAATGGAGAGTTCTTGAAGGAAGCACACGAATACACCTTCGGACTGACATCGGATCCATTGACGCAGTTTGCAATTCTCTTTTCCACGATCATTCACGACCTGGACCACAGCGGAGTAGGAAATCCGCAGTTGGTCAAAGAGAAGAACCGGCTTGCAGCAATGTATGGAGGAAAGAGTGTCGCCGAGCAAAACTCGATTGATTTGGCGTTGGAGTTGCTGACTTCGTCCAGCTATTCGGATCTTTTGAGTTGTATCTGTGCGGACGACGAGGATTTCCAACGGTTCCGCCAGCTCGTCATCAACTGCGTCATGGCGACGGATATGTAAGTCTCACCGAGCCGAATGGCGTTCGAAATCATGTGACCTATTGTACTGACATCCATTCGCAATTTCTACCGCACTTCGCAGTTTCGACAAGGAGCTTTTGACTCTACGCAACAATCGTTGGAAGAAAGCCTTCAGTGAGAACGACGAGTCAGCATCCGACCTCAAGGCAACCATTGTCATTGAGCATATCATTCAGGCTGCTGACGTTGCCCACACAATGCAGCATTGGCATGTGTACCAAAAGTGGAACGAGAAGCTGTTCTTTGAAATGAGAAAGGCATACGAAAGTGGTCGAGGGGGAGAGAAAGATCCTGCAGACACTTGGTACAATGGTGAGCTGTGGTTCTTTGATAACTACGTCATTCCATTGGCCAAGAAACTGGATGATTGTGGTGTGTTTGGTGTGTGCAGTGACGAGTGCTTGACTTATGCCAAGCAGAACCGCAAGGAATGGGAAGTGAAGGGTCGTATTGTGGTTGAGGCCATGTGCAAAAAGTACAGGGACGAGTATGAAATCAAAGAAGGGATTGATGAAGATGAAGAGGATGATTCATCCAATTAGGGTGTACATACACGGATGCTTTCATTCGAATCGGGGGATTTCAAACTGCCGTATACATACCATTTCAATATAAAAATTAGATCAAGATTACAGTAACGCATCAATTATATTATACGTGCCAATCCTCCGATAGTGTGGCTTGCAGGGAAGCGTTTGAGAAGCGATGTCAACAGGAGTTCAGGGGAAATCTGCTGTCGTGTTGGTAAAACGTATGGCTCGAGACATTTTGTTCTATTCTCCGATGCCTCCCTCCACCATGCTTCGACCGAATCAATCGAGACGGTTCAAGGTGACGGAATCGAGACGTTTCTTTTACTACGACCTATTTCGTCAGCTACACCATCAGGTCTTCTTCGTACCAAAACAGGAGAAAACGACCAACCATCGCTGATGGGGTACAAATATCATCGGACCTGTCCAGAAGGACCAGAGCCTCACTACATTCCTTAATCAGTTGAGGTCAATTCGAGTGACTTCTTTCCATTGACTCACACCATTGAGAGTTCCCGGAGTAGTAAGGAATAAGCCAGCTTCATCGGCGATAAAATCTTCGGGAGGTTGTATGCTCGTGGTCGGAGAGAGCGATTGGCTTCCGTAATACTTGCTAAAATGTGGCTCATGAGCTGGACCGGGAAATATCCATTCACCGGGAGGTAATTTCAACACTTGGCGGGATTGTGCCAGCAGCTTCATGTACTCGTCACTGCGCTCCATCATCGCAACACAGGATTGGGACCAGACGAGATTATTGTTAGGATCGTACATGGACTCACAAGGTTCTTTGCGAAAGCGACAAGGGATTGGGCCGATACCGCGCAGTCCTTTTCGCAACTGTTTGCCCAATTCAGTTGCCCCGCGTTGTGTCTCGCATCGAATACTGCCCACAATCGTAACATGTGGAACAAATGGTGCGCTGCTGCCCAATTGATTATACCGTAGCGAAAGTTTAGAAATTTCCTTGGCGTATTTTGACCGTATAGGTTCTGGCGGGAGGAGCCACAGTGACAAAAATAGACAGCCGGCCTCAGCTACAAAGTTGTCCAACAAGTGACTTCCAGGATTATATTTGAGTAGTGACGGTAACTCATCAGCGACTGACATGGATCGACCACGATGCCGCAGCGCTCGCGGTGGGTCCAAATTCAAGAATAGCGCAGAAGATTGAGTTCGACGGTGAACAACGTTCCGTCGTCCAATGCTTTCCGTTGTCGTCAACCGTTCCACATCACCCAAAAGTGCCGATAACCTTCTCCAGCTCATCTTGGCTCTTTGCCTTGATTTCTTCTGCTGTTTTTGCTTCTCCATTCTCTCTTGATCCTCGTACTCCCGTCATGCTAAAGGCGGAGCTCCAGCTTTTCAAGCCTGGTTTGTTATTGCCGCTTTAGAGATTGCAGGTACGAAATCAATAAATTGAAATTGAAAATGATGATGCCGTCCACATACAATATGATAGTGCCGGTACAGTATTGCCAGCGAATATTGGGGTTCCGAATGATTGCCCCCAGTATCATCCCCTTTCCCTTTTCTCCCCTATTCTCCGCATGCATCATGATTCTTCATGGATCATGCACGGAGGCTGAAGGTTCTCATCCGCATGCGGAGAGCAGAATCAGCCTCAACCAGTAGAAGGACTAGTTTTGTTTTTCTGATCTACACACCGGCACCTTATTGTCACTTACTAGCTATCCAGCCCACGTCATGCTCTTCTAAGATATCTGATGCCGGCCGTTGCATCCGTTGGTTTATATTGTAGTACATGAATAACTACAAACATTTTAGGAAACCTACACTGCAGCATCAAAGTTTTTAAAAATAAGCTTCTTCTCTGCTCTCTTGTCCAATGCCTGGTTTCTCATCGCCAATATTTTCCAAAAAGGACCTGTTGACACCATGGTTTTTGGACTTCTGTTCTTTTCCCTGGGGAGTCTTTTACACGAGGAATGAGGTTCTTGTGTCAATCAAAAAATGACCTGCAGAACAAGCTCAAAGCGTGACTTGCATGCAGGCAGGCGTTTGACTGCCGTAGTAAAAGATCCGTTACAATATCTGCACGCTTGTCAGTTGGCGGTGAATCAACGGTTTGAGAAAATACTTAGAGCGAGGACAATATATCGCGTTAAGTGACATTAATGCACATCTAAAATAATCAGAAATCTTAAAAGGACCAATACGTATCATTGGATTCCGCCTGCGTTGGATTCGGTTTCAAAAATGGGAGGGAAGAATTTTCTTGGGTGTCGAGCAGGTTGATCTCTCTTGTTCATCACAGCATCACTCATCAAGCTACCTCCATAACCACACTCGTGCTATCCATTGACAATGAGGCAGTGCGCTCTCTTTTCTTACCTCTTCTATTGCATATTATATGGTGGACGACTATACTTGCCATTCGTATTTGTGGAGGCCAATGGGAATGTCTTTCTTCGAGGAGTAGTCAACACCCAACCTCAAACCGTTTCTGGGAAAGCTGACGTACTTGGTGTCAATTGTCCAGGAGCTCGTTCACTGAAAGACATTCCGGTTGTAACCGGTGGCACCACATCCATAATAATTCAACAATCAGAGCCTTCCGCTTTAGCCTCGTCTATTTCAAATGATGGAAGCATGAGCTTCAGCCAGGAAGTCTTGTACAAATGTAGTGAGGATCCAAGTCTCCTAGCAGCACCAGGAGTTTGGTATAGCGTAGTGGGAACCGATGCCTCGATTCACGCCTCGCTATTGTTTGAGAATGAATCTGTGCAAAAGATGGCTGTCTTTGAAGCAACAGATGGATGTCAGCCAAGTCAGTGTTTGATGGTTTCCAATTCGTTTGATAGGCAACTCGATTGGTTTGCCGAAAGTGATACAACTTATCTCGTCAAGGTTTTTGGAGCTTCGGCGGCACAATCAGGGCCCTTTGTCTTGCAAATGGAGGTATGTTGACTGATGATTGCCCTGTAACTTGGTCTGCCGTGTCGTCTCCTCCTATTTTTTTATATCAGATTCTTGACACTCAAAATGACTCTCTCACACGTTCCCTCCTATACTCGAAAACTTTGCAGGAAATTTCATCGCCCCGTCCACACAATGACAGATGTCATACAGCAGAAGCCTTGCAAATAGGAATCGTTACTCGGGATGCCTCCTTCGAAGCATGGCCTCATGGTCTTGCAAACGCGGAGTGTAATCTGGATGCCCATTCTCGAGGACTCTTCTACGCTCTTGAAGGCACTGGTCAAGTCATTACGATCACACTTCGACCAAACATTAGTGAAGGAAAGTTAGGCCTCGTGATATTATCGGGCGATGATTGTGGAATCTGTATGGGTCACAGTCGATTTGTGACTGCGATTGATTCCAAACAAATCATTAACTTGCCAACCCAAATTGGGGAAATGTACCACATCTTGGTCTCGGGCGAAGATATTGGCGATGCGGGAAGCTTTCAGCTATCTGCCTCATGATGATCAAGCATGTGCAGAAAACTTGTGATCCTCAAGACGATCCTACTATGCGAGTTTTCGTTCGATGAACTCTTGAAGGCGACGACGTACTGAAGTTTTTGCCAAGTCAATCTCGACTTTCTAGCACAAGAAGGGCAAAGAGTCACAGTAATGATAATGTCACATGATGTCACGGTTTAAGGTGCATCAGTCACACAACACTTGATCCAAAAGAATGACTTGCTGTATGCAACGAACTCTGCTGTTCTCCATTTTGTGTAATAAAGAATCCGACTGAGTTATATCACGATGTACCTCAATAATGGAACTGAAGAACCGTACAAGCTGCCACAAGAGTTCTAGGCAAGGATCGAAGGGAGGGTATCATGTGCCCTGGTACGATAAAACCAAAGGTAGTGATTTCATGCGAATCTCGAATGCATGCTACAAAGAAGGAATTAGTAGAATACTCGCACTGGTAGAATACTATAGAACTTTGTTATATTCTGTGGTGAATACTTGTAGGCAACAAATAAAACTTGCTTCTCCTACAGCGCAATAGCCAGAGTCGCTCCACGGCGGGCGACTCAAAGCCACCAATGTAATCCATTCCAAAAACAAAAAGGTACAAAATCTTATTCTGCCTTCAATGTCACATAGAGAGTCCAAAGATCGACACCCAAAAGAAAGGCAAAGGGCGGAAAGAAGCCCAAGGGGGGAAATTCCCAAGCTGGGATCTTCAGTGGCATCCAAACCTTGGCTGTGTCACCTTCAATGTAGGCTTCGATGATATCAAAGGCCTCTCGCCAAAGCCGCCATAATCACATAACATTATCTTTACTCTATTCCGCCTCATTCCAACACCGCGATCGCTGGCGAATTGGGAAAGGCAAAAGCCATCATTCCCATAGAGCCGGCAACAAAAGCCTGGGATGAATACCAAAATTGAACAGGGAAGGATGGTGCATACTGGCCTGGAAGTATATCGGCGAAAAGCCAAAGGAGGAGGATACCCGCCCCCACCAGCAGCCCAGCAAGAATAAGGATGCCAAGATCATGTACTTTACACAGAACCAAGAGTATTACTCTTGATAAAACTTCCAAAACGAAGAATAGTAAGTGCTACGTCTTGCCATGACCCGGCTTTCGAGAATGAGAATGAATGATGCCTTTAAAAACAGGACGAGGAGATGATGACAACAACTGCAGTGTTACAGTTACACACAAAATTGATTTTTTAATGATATGAATATACAATAAATACATGAAATAGCCAGTCAGTCAAGAAGATGCAACCCCAATGAAAGATTCATCATGATTTTCCACCACGCTTCTTCTGAGGTTTCCAAGCATTTCCGTACTTGAAACGGAAGCTTTCGTTACAAGTCTCCAAGAACGCCAAAGCCTTTTGCTCATCGTGAGTGCTGACCGCAGCCAACCACAAACCCCAGAAAGTTTGCTTGTCCAATCCGTGGACATGAGGCTTTGCTCCAAGGAGATCCGCAAACTGAACAATATCGGCCACCCGAGCCTGAGAGAAGGTAGCAGTTTGACCTTCGGACTTCCATTGGGACATCTTGGCAGCGACTCCTTGGAAGTAAATTCGCATTCGCATCTCGCGAGCCACGGCACTCATGAGATCATCTTCCTCGGCCTTGTTGTTGTATCCTGGCAAAGAAGACTCGGCGGCACCAAAAACAATACCTTCGACTCCAAGTTGCATAAAGAAGGTTTGGAGCTCGGAAAGATCACAGCCTTCACTGGCTTCATCGTTTCCGAGTAAGTCCCTTGGAGTCTTGAGCTCAGCTCTTTTGAGCTCTTGTACAACATCTGCGTAGCTGGACATTCCAGTTTCCATGTCACGCTCTAATTGCTCCCATCCACCCACACGCTTTGAGAGTACAGATGCCAACTTTTCTGCAACCGACCACAGACGGCACCACTTGCGACAGATATCTCGGACCCATGGAATGAGTTGACGACCCATGTCAGTATCGACTTGGTAGTCGTCCCTGCAGTCAAGTCGAACATTTTCAATGGGGGGCTCGGATTCCATGAACGGTTGGGTCTCAGGGGCAGTCTCCTTGGCAATTTGTAGCAGCTTGGTCAAGAACTCCATGGCCTTTTGACGGGCCATTTCCTTTTCTCCACCAGTTTCCATTCGAAATCGGCTGCGAGCGTCACGAGCACACTCTTCTTTCAAGATTGCCATCAACACGTCTTTTGATTCAAATACCTTGGTGGCATTCTTGGACTCGGTCAATACCGCCATGAGGGCCAAGGCCACTTGGGACATTCCATCCACACCCGCCTTGGTGGAAAAGTCCAAAGGAACATCATCTACATTTTCCATGGCATCCGCCATTTGTTGGTATTGGTCCCACGTGTCTCGCCCCTTGCACAGCTTTCTGAAACTGTACATGACCTTGAGCATCATGTCAATTCGAGCCTCCGACAAGAAGTGTTGCTTGGGCTTCTTGGAAATGCTATCAAACTCGGATCGAAGATAGTCCTCATCGACGTTCCCGTCCCAGGGCGACCAGTCTGTAATACATTCTGAGAACCATCCACACTTAGGACAGTCATTCGAAATTTTGGCTCCACTTCCCGTATTTTCTCCGTGATGCGACATCAAGTCACCACAAGCATAATGATCCACGGGACCAAAGTTGCAGTTACCGCACATGAAGGCTCGTCCCATGAAAGCACGGCGCAAGTTGGCCACCACATCGTGTTCGGTGATGGTCGCTTCGTCTTGAGTGGCGGCCAAATGGAACAAGGAAGTACTGTGGAGGGCAACGCGCATGCTGAAACCAGTGTACATATGCATATCTCGCGAAATGGTAACCGAAGTGAACTTTTCTCCGAGCAAAGCAGTGTTGTTCAAGAGCTTGCTGGTACGAGGCAGCGAAGGCTGAATCAAGAGGAGGACATCTTCAATGGGAGCACCAGCCTCTGGACCATAGACTGGGACCTCGGCCTTGTTGGAGCAACAAATACTGGCCGAATCCACAAGAGTCGATCGAATATTCTCGACTTCGAGCAAAAATGGATTCATTTGGCAGGCTGCAAAACGCTTCAAACGAATGGGGAAACCGAGCATTCCTCCGTACATGAGCATTTCCCAGCAAGATTCGAATGGTTGCTCTCCAAAATGCAACCATTCCTCAGCATGCTGCCAAGGGGTGGCCATGGACACAAAGGATTGGGCTCTTCCATGGACTCCATCGTTCAGATAGTCGGCAAGTTGTCCCGAATGAATGAGGTCAAGCGCACCTGGGCTCAATGAAAGGGCGTTCAGACTATCGAGATCGGTATCCATTTCGTTTTCCAAAACTGATGCCTTCTTTCGAATCTCCCAAATTTGGTCCTTGTGGCGCTGGGCAACGACCCGAGGAAAGATGTTCTGACGCAAATCTTTTTCGCTCAGATTCTTCGCATTGAAGATGGTATCCAAAGCCATGGCAGCCTTAAGCTTCTCACGGAAGCCCTCGCTTGTCAAGTACTTGTGGATGGCCTTTTGCTCTGCCTTTGGGTCCACCACACCATCGGCTCGACCAGCAGCTCGACGCAATGCCTTGTTGGCAAACTTCATGGATCGGCCGTTGAGGAAGGCTGCTTGGCCCTCAGAATCGTTGATGGAAAAGTTGGCAATGTCCACAATTTGGTTCTTGAGTTCACCAGCCTTGTGAGTGAGCGCTCGGATTTGGCGGTATTGCTTGACTCGTTCCTTGGCCGATAGAGACGTCATGTTCAAGTCCACATCACTATCTTGGTGGGCCTTCACAAGATTGTACAGGATGTCCAAATACTTGACTGACTTGGAAATGACCTCTTTCCTGTCCTTTGCAGCCACAATCTTGACCTTGGTCTTGTCAATCAGCCCCTGGATCATTGTGGTTAGTAGGTCAAATGGAATTTCTTCCTTTGCGGCCACCGAAATCTCTTGTCCGTTGACACGAATCGACTTTGGCACATCGGCAAAGCAACACAGTAATGGGATACAAGTGGTGTCAGAATTGGCGTGCACTCGAATTGTTTCCTTGGGCTTGCTTGCAAAATCTTGAATGATGGCTGGAAATGGAGTGGTGATCTCGTGGAATGTACCTTGGACGGCACTGTTCAAACCAGCCTCCAAGTTTCCTAGGATGGTTCTCAGAGCCGAGTTAGTCTTGGCAAAATAAATGGTCTGAACCGACTCAGTCTGGAAGCTGACTGTCTCGATGCTCTTCTTGAGGAGCATACCCATCGAAGTACTCGATTGCTCGGAAAGCCCAACCACGATGGTGGACAGCATGGCATCGTCCGGAATCTTGGTCTTGAAGGTTGGAAAAACTTTATCAGGTGCAGCTCCAGTGTTGTGGTGCCCATCGGACAAGAGAATCAACACGTGGTGGGTACGAGGAATAGTAGCACCATCCGCCATTCTTTGCCTTTCCTTCAAGGTAATGATGTTGATGGCATTTTCAACACCAGCGGGAATGTTGGTCATTCCTTGGGCAGGTAGTTGAAGCTCGCGCATTTGCTTGGCCGAAGTAATATTGGCATTTAGTGTTTGGGCTATGAGCGAATGGAAGAGATTCGAAACAAGTTTGTGAGATGTCTGAATGAGGGAGATTTCAAAGCACTTCGGGGACACCTGTAGTTGGTTACTTACCGTTGCCAGCAAACACAGTCATGGAACAAGGGGCAGTAGCGACGGAATCAACCATGTCGGCAAAGATATACATGACTTCCCGTGTCATGCTTCCCATGGACCCACTGTTATCCACGACAAAATGAATCGCTACGGGTGGCTTCTCCTCTTCTGTGATGGAAGCTTCGTCCTCGTTGTTGATACAAGCTTCAGGATCCACGGCAAGCACCCAATGCTCCCCAGCAGGATAAGCAGCACAGCATTTATTGAGCATAGTGTCAGTCTTTTTGTTGTTGTTGTTGTTGTTGTTGAATTAGCTTGGAAAACCTTGTAGTGTCAAGGTTCGATGCAAACAGTTTTGTGCAACGAAGCTTGAGTGTAAAAAGATGTGATGGATTCTATAAAAATACCCGGATGTTTTCGAAACGTGTGCCGTTTTAGACGTGCACTTTCAGAAACTCGCTCGGAAGACAACAGACCGGCCAATACAAGTGCCGACCGTTGTCAGTTGCATCTTTCCGTCATGCCCGGACATGCATGACAACGATTGAATTGAGGTATTGACGGAAGACTAAAACAAGTAAAGATAGGCTGAAATAGGATGGAGCAAAGATTTTCTGTAATGCAACAGATGAATACCCTTAGCAGTATTGAATCTACTGATTTTCTTAGTAATGATAGCTACCAGTGTCTTGTTCCAATACGAACTCAAAACGGATGAGGCCCATTAGGCATTAGGCATTCACGTTAACTGTGATTGCATCAACAATGTTTGTCTACCAGTACTGTTACAGTACTGTTACTGCTCTTATCCCCGCCCAAAACGCAACCAAGGGATCTTTGGTGGAGACGTCCGACGTCCGTTCGCCAGTCGTAGCGGGTCACTGCCAGACTTCCGCTAATGTCCGTATTTCATTGTTACTGTGCTATATACCAGGTACCTGGTACTCCTTACTTGCAGAACTTCAATCCAAGACCACATCACTACCGTTGTATCTAGAGATGGTTTCGTAGAGACAGTCTCAAGTTCAATCCATCGCTTGGCTATCCCTGCTATAAAAAAGCGAAAATATGTACAGAATAGGTCCTAGTATTAATACCTCATCAAAATATAATACCAGCAGCACCATGCAGTAATTCTCATGTGGCTGGTTTGTGGTTTGTTCAATGCTGAAGACTTATCTTCTTTCGGTCTCAGTTTCACAGTCTTCAATGTTTAATTACAAAGCTTTTAGTGAAGCACACCCGTTCCAACAAAAACAAAAAAGAGAGCAGCACAGAAGCATTTATTTTGGAACCGATTTGTTGGCTTTCTTTATAGTTTAATTTATACGCTTAATCAACCTTCTTTCTGTAGGAGCATCCCTCTGTTAGACGAGCCTTACCACCGGTGGGTTGGCAAAGTTGGATATTGCAGTTTCCGCACAGAACAACGGTTTGTGCATGAGAGAAAACTGTGGTAATTTGAAAGCATCCTGGGCACTTAATGTCCATGAAGAAAGAATTGGGAGATTGCACAAGTCTCTTCAACTTGTGGGTTCTCATTTCACTTTCGGGAGTTGGGTGCAAGAGATCGACAGGCATATTGGGATATTTTTGTTTTGTTTTTATAAAGGGATAGCAAAGGACTTCTGTAAAATAAAAATGATCAAGCAATTGTGTGTGAGAACAGTGAACCTGGAAAACGTTTGCGAATTCGAAACACCCCTGACACACAAGCACGTTTCGAAGGTAAGGAATGGCAAGGATTGACGCGCTGGGAACCACCAATTTCACCACTATAGTAGAGATAGATATTCCCACAATGAAACGTGCTGCCGGATATTGTATTGATCCAATCGTCAAGGGACTGATGGAGATCATTGTTGCGTTTTCCAAGCGTCGTGTTGTTACTAGTAACCCTCTTTGCCATTCTCTTGCTCATTCTTGTTGATATCGTGTTTGTGTTGGGCTGTACGCCATGGTCAAATCACTCACCTTGAGCACCAAAAGTGGATTGCAAATGTTGCTGCTGTGACAGACAGGAATTTGCAACGAAGAAAGCTGCTGGGTAGGGCTGGTACTTGAGTGACGCAGAAAACGGTTAGTATTGGTGAAAAGCGGTAACCTGTGGATCCAAGTGGTCCAATTGTGATCGGATGGGAGGACGGATCTTTGATTCCTTGGACCCAACCCATCACTTGGAAATCTCCACGCGTACAGCAAGAGCAGGCCGGCAGCAATGCGACCAAAAACAACCAAAGACGTTCGTGCCGTCAATAAATAGTGTGTAACGTCTAGAAAATCACGAACCAAATTTCAGTAACAGAAGTCTAATTCCGGCAGCTTCCCAAAAAATTTGACGCCTTCGTTGTCCGCATGCACAAAAACGTCACGCAGTTTCATACCGAATATACTGTACTTCATTGACCCTTCCTTCTGAATCTATCAATTGCCTTGGTGTTATGGCCTTGTAGTCAGCGGCAAAGCATCAACTACAGAAGGAGAATTGACATTACAGTTGGCAGTTCACGTTTTCTCAACCCAGAAATCAATCTTCTATCATAGCTTCAACGCAGCCATCAAAGAGAAGAATCAATCGAAATCCATCATTGTTTCATAACGTTCCAAAAACGTCAAAGCAAACATCCGAATTAAATTAGAATCTTCAACGATGCCAACCCTACGGAGATCTCGAAGGTCCAAGAAGCAAAGGAGCCACAAAGTAAAAGAGGAAAAGAAGACAGAACAGAATACTACGACACCTCATCCATATCATCCTTCTTCTTCTTCTTTTCCTGTCATTAACAATGTTCCGCCACCGCCTCCGGCAAAGAATAACAACTTTGGCAGTCGAGTTCATTCGGAATCGTCAAATCTTTCCGATATTACCATGGAAAGTCGCCCCTATCATTATCAGCAGCAGCAGCAGCATCATCATCAAGCAATTATAGCTAATGCGGCGGCTGCTTCCGCGGCGAGTGCGTTGGACGAACGATCTTCCGTTTTGGAATATTCGGATACCAGTGATGATTACCGGGGAGAAGATCGTTACTTTTCCTTGCCCTATTCGGATTCGAGTCAATCCTTGTTGGGAAATAGTCCCACGAATCATCATCGCCATGATTCCTCTGGATCGGCATTGCAAACCCTGAGGCATGGCAGCAAGGCACATCATGTGGTTCATTATTCGTCCAATTCCATGAGCTTTGACGACAAGAGCGACGGCAGTCCAGAAGATTCACTCCCCACATTTTCCAGCAACTCGGAAATACCACCCGATGGTTCCCCGCAGTACCAAAACTGGGTCACCAACTTGGCCTATGCCTTTCGAAGCACCCGAAATAGTGGAAGTCACGAGGCACCCGAAGAAATTCTTCCAGAAGACAGCATTAAGCGGGGGCATCGATCGCAAAGATCCTCCACCACGATGGAATTTCCACCCTCGCCGTTTGAAAGTCAACAACAGCGTCTCAATGGAAACGAGACGACGCCACTGCTCAAAGATATTCGAAGGAATATGCACAACAACAACAACAATGGCCTCTATGGAATTGACGAGTCGGCGGTTTCACCACCGCCACCAAACGATGGATTATTGAAACAAGAGGACCGAAAAGATTCCAGGGGCAGCAAACGAATAAAGAGTCGAAAAATGGCGGCATTCATAGCCGCCTGCTATCTGATGGATTACGAACATGGGCGACCCCCTTCCCTTTCGTCCAATTTTGAAACGATTACCCCCGAACAACTCCGATTGTTTCGGATACAATTCTCGGAAGCATGGAGGTGGCTGGGTGTCAATCTTGCGGTCGTCCTCTTGTTTATTGCTCATGTTGTCAATGATATTTCATCGGTTGCAATGCATACCTTTGCCGTCACCATTTTACTTGTGGAAGTTTGGATGAAAGAAGTCTTGTATGGTCAAGATCATTCAAGAGACTTTGGTCACCGGGATAGGGCTTTGGTTCGACCAATGATGCTTCTTCTGTTTGCCTTGGGAATTGAATCTTGGACCCGATTGGTGTTGCCCAGCGACTATGATGCCACCACCATGACTACTACCCCTCAACGACCCGTGGTATTTGTGACTGCCATTTTCAAACCCCTGGTACTGTTTTACACGAGTCGAAGGGCGAGAAATGCGCTAGAGGCTTTGCAGCGGATTGGAAAGATTGTGGTTCGAGTTTTGCTCATTGAAGTATTCCTGATTTTATCCTTTGCGGCGGTTGCCTGCCGCATGTTCAAGAATTCAAGCAGCTTGCAAACTCTGGCAGTGTCGTGGCTCAGCCTATTCGAACGTGAGTAAACAGGCGGTGGTTCCTATTGATTGATTAATTGATTGATTGATTGATTGACCATGATTCCATTGTAATTGTCCATTGTCGACGAGTGGTTGCTAACATTGCTTCATTTCGATTCTATAGTGTCAACCACAGTTGTCAATCCAAGCCTGTGGATGCCAATGTATGAAGAATCCCCGAGCAGCGCCTTTTTCTTTATATTTTTCATTATCACGTCTTCCTTTTATCTTCATTCTTTGGTGCTTTCGGTCGTCTTTCAAACCTACATGCAAGCCTCGGCGGATATCCATGAAAGAACCCTGTGGTATAGGGAAGAAGCGACACGGCTTGCATTCCTAGCGTTGGCAAAGAATGGTGATACGGAAACCATTAGTGTCGGGAGCGTACGGAAAACACTGCAACTGGTGAGACCGCATTATAGCAATATGAAGGTAAGAAATCTATCTGGCTAAGTGGGGAAAAAATGAATCATTTCATCAAGTGCCCTCTGCTAACGTCTTTTATTACATTATTTGCATTAGATCAAAGCACTGATGGACATTGTTAATCCGGATGGAGCACAGATTATTGACTATGCAACTTTTCGGACGAAGATTCGGCAAGCTCTCAATGCCTCGATTCGTACCTCGAGCAGCCCAACGACGCTTGCAATGGGTGTGGAATTCATTGCCGTTTTTGTCGCTGTTTCGAATTTCTTCTACGTCCTTTTGATGACGTCCGAATTCGACACTACGTGGTTCGACTCGGCTGCTGTCCTTTGTGGATCAGCAATAACTTTACTTGGACTACTGGAGCTTGTGATTCGATTCAATCCGCTTCGAATAGCAAACTTTGCGCCATTGACCCGACTGAACGTGACATTTGATGGGTTGGCCCTTATTGCCGCTCTTGTCTCTATTGTTGGCATTGTATTCTACATTGTTGGTGACACCGACTTGGCAACGGACTATATTTTGATGGGGAGAGCAATTGACATGATCCGAGTCATGCGCTTCTTTCAAATCTTTCGTGATATCGTGCGCCGAAGCGCCGACGTCTTGCCCGCACTTAGGGGACCCCTCTTCCTTGTCATGACAGTACTCCACACCTTTGTGTACATTGGTATGATTTTATGGGGAGGCGCCATCGACGTTGATACACTGTCGCAGAATGCTCAGATTACTCCGCTATACTACCTGAACAATTTCAACAGCTATGCCAAGGGACTGGTGACAATGTTCAACATTTTCATTGTCAATGACTGGCATGTCATTGCTGAAGTCTTTCTATATGCTGATCGACATTCCAGCCCCTTGATTGTATATCCCTTCTTTGTTCTTGGCATCTGTATCGGTGTGTTCATTATGCTCAACGTGGTAACTGCATTCTTCGTCGAAGGTAAGTTTTGTTCGTCGCGATGCCGCATTACATTGATTGATTCTAACAAAGCCTTGGAATTCCGATTCAAAACTATATAGCATTCATGACAAAGCTTGGAGACAAAGACCCCAAGAGCAGCACTTCGAAATCACACAAGAGTAAAGCGACTGATTTCCACATCCATCCTGATGCAGGTGTCAAGAGAATTTCATCTGTTCGAAGTCTCAAGGCAATCGCTGATCTGAAAAAGGAGGTCGACATGGCTGCGTCGTCCGATGACAATAACTCTGTGTCGAGCCATCGCAGCACAGAAATTTTCTCTTTTGATGTCTACGAAAGAGGAGGATTCGACCAAGTCATGTCAGAAGTTAATAAAGGTATATCGGAACAGGGAGATGCCTTCGCTCGAGCAGTTTGCGATTACCTTGAAGTCTTTGAGGGTCTAGTTGCCGGACGGTAAGCACTGCTCGGTTTTTGAAATGTGGGTTCTTCGATGGTATTCTAACTGTTGCCTCGTTTGCAGCGAAAAAGTGGGATACATGGTGTGCTGTCAACAGAGTATGAATCGTTTCGGCAACCGAAGGTTCCAAAACAATGCCATGGATTATGTCATGGAAGAAAAGTTGCAGAGGGTGGTTGGAGATATGCACTCGGAGCTGCTTGTCTTGTCAACGAGCTCAAAGTTCAACGGCAGATGCCTCGTCAGGAGGTTTGCGCACAAATCAAATCCCTCAACAGAGCTAGAAGTAGCTGCTTCGCTCCTACGGTATCAGCCAGCAGTGACGTTGCTTGTGTCTCGAATCAGACCAGCTAACAGTCCCAGGCCATAGTTGCAGTGTAGGTGTCAAATCGGAACTGATTGGGACACAAATTGGAAAGTAGGTAGCTAATTGCTACTTTCTAGTTGTATTTTTGTTATGTTACTGGTACTGCTATGTTACTGCTACGCTACTGTTCTAGCTCAAGTGTTGGGGAGAGAGGGAATTTAAGGCATTCAATGCCTACGCGCACGATAGAAACTGGAATTGCTTGCCAACTCTGTGGGTCATGGACAGACTTGATTTGTCCAGCATCATCTTTCGATTGTTGCTGGAGGTAGACTGATTACCAGAACGCGCAACTGGTGTCTGCGTCAAATGTGATTTGCCAGGCATCTTCTTCCGATTGGATGTTGTTGAATGACTACCAGAATCAAGTCCTGCCTGCCGCGCAATCAGCAGCCAGTGGATGGAGTTCAATTGATAGGTTTTCGCAATTCGCATAGGGCAGCTTTTCCCTTCGAGTTCTTGAAGTTCTTGCTCCTCAAAGACTGCATTTACTGCTTGTAATCTGTATCGTTTCCTTATCATTGACAGGTTGGGGAGATACTTCTCGAGCCCTTGAATAGTGAAGTCATCGGATTCGTGAGCTTGACCGTGCATGAAAAGGTTTATGTCATTGATAGCTTGAATTTTTATGCTCAGGTATTCATTTCGTTTGAGCCAACACGCCCTCTTTTCTTCTTCCGAGAGGTCCTTTCGACAAGAAATGAGCCTCGAGGACTCACTCTCATCAAACTTCACCTTCAGCCCTGTTTTCCTCTCGTTCTTCTTGGCGGGAGGAGCGTCCAGTTCCAAACTCTTTGTTTTTGGTGCGTCTTTTATTTCCTCTTCGTCACGTACTCCTCGATGTCTGGCAATTGTTGTAGCATATAATACAGCCTCTCTATAGGTGGCAGCAATGAGGTCGGCATCGAAGAAGTTACTGGTTAATTGCCGGTCTTGTTCGTTCATAACGGCATCCTTTGCATCGTTCATCACTTTTTGCCGCCTGACTCTATAGTCCGGCATGAAGATGCTCTCGAGGCCACGATAACAAAAGTCGTCCGTCTCGCCGAGATACTTGCTTCTCTGCAGCAGAAAGCAAGCTCTGGAATTTTCCGCAATCGTCGCTGATATCTCAGCTTGACTGTACCATGTGTTGGAGATAGCTTCGCTGCTCAAACCTGATCGATTTTGTACCTCTCTCGTTTCAGTTGGCATGTGGATGAAGCCAACCATCTTTCTTGAGCCCTTATTTGGTGTTGTGTAGATCATATTCTCGTGATTGTTCTCGAGGAATGAAATGCTCTTTTTTTAAAAATAAAAAGTATGACGGACCAACTATTTTATACCAGGTACTGTACCCGTCGAAAAAATGGTAAAATCCTCTCTCGCGGGGTAACCTTTGAACAGAAGCAGCTCTTGAAAAATGAGATCCTACTATTTTCCCGTTTCTTTCGGACAATTAAGACACGGATCTTCGCACTTTACCTGGTGTTCTCATTCAAGATTTAAGAGGTGCACGAATTGGCCAGCAGTAGTCGAAATGTCGAACGAAAAAGACATACTGTACAAACATTGATCCGTAAAAATCTCTGTCCCTCATATATATATAATAAGGTCATGTCGTCATGAAGTATCTGATATTTTTTTTTAATAATCTTAAATTCTCCGACGAGTCAGTGAGTCACCTTTTCTATCTTCAATATCTGCGTCATCTGACTTGAAACCATCACAAATTGAAAATAGTCCTCCCCCTGTCGAGTTTCGAGAACTGCCGCTGGCGGAACTGAAAGTGCCCCTTTCGCCGCGTCATTGAGGTAAAATACACCCGTGTGGTACAATATAGCAATATAAAGCTCCGAGAAGTGCAAATAGAAGTGGCTAATGGTCGTTCAAACAAGATTCTAGTCTTGCCTTGAAAGCTGATCCCGCGGACAATTATTGGCCCAATTAAAAACTGCCCTTGTCAATAAAGTCCCGACAACAGGATGTTTCGAAAAGGCTAATGGCATGTTCAACACAAGCAACTCGTGGGAGCAAGAAGGTAGATACTAGTTTTGCTTTTGACAATCCCGCAGACAAACAAGTCGGGTCCGGTGCCAACAAAGCTCGACGTCGAAATGGCTAAGCAATGGCATGTTCAACACAAACAACTCATGGGGGCACTATGGTACATGCTCTCTTTGCCTTTGACAATCCCGCAGACAAATTGGCCGGTCTGTACACTTCTGCAGATGTCAATAAAGCTCCGAGAACTGGACGTGTCGAAACGAATAATAACATGTTCAACGCAAGCATTTGCCTCTGACAATCCCGGAGACAAATCGGCCAACAAAGCCCCGACTATTTGACGTCCCACAACATGCCGTGATTCCAAACAAACTGATCATCGTTTGCTTGGTACACCCATTCTTCAAACAAATGTGAATGTTCAGCAAGAGTCGGCTCACTCAAGACCCGCATCAAACGTTTGATCATTTGGTGGCAGGTGCCGAAAAGAGTTCTTCCCTCGTCCAACAAGGAAAGCTGTCGCAGAGCCAAAAGAAGCGCCCTTTGCATCCGACTATATGCCCTTTGATCCATGCATCGGGTCTAGCAAATGTAAATATGAACGTTGAAGAATAGAATCAATTGAGACTCACAATGTAGTAGTAGTGTGACCCACCATTCTCAAGTAATCTCTCAAGTAGATTGATCGTTCAGCCTAGGTGAGTGCATGGCAAACTATACCGTGTCCTTCTTTTGTTTGTCAATCAGCCAGAGTAATATCGCCAGATATGCCAAATCGCATCCCAAAAACGTCATGGTGGAGGCAGTCAACAAGTCACCCAAAACAGACAAAACGCCTCCCTCAGCACGGCTGCGAATTGCCCAGCACCAAAATCGATCCAGACCAATTCCTAAAATGCTAGGTAGAATCAAGCTTATGATGAAGATAATATGGGCAGTTGTCCAATGTCGCGAAGCATCATTCCCTCTATGTCCATCTTTCCATTGAGGAAAAAAGGTAAACGACCTGGTGGTTGTTGTTGTCGTCGTTGGATTCCGCACCACGATGGGCCCAAACAAGAGTTGAATTGCGACAATTGTGGCATTCAATGGTGGTAGTAAGTACCACATCTCCAATGCATCTGTTCCTGCCATACTGGGACGATCCGTCGGTATTCGTCCCTTGCCCGTCTTGAGCCACAGGGCGGACAAGAAGGACAGTCCGATGAGATCGAAAATCCAAAAGAGGTAATGTCCAATGAAATCAACCAGAGCTACCAAGCCCAAGCCTTGCAAGGTCCAAAACATGAAATCCCATCCATAATCTACTGATATGCTGTCGTTTTCGACATCGTTATCGTCGTGAGATTTTTTGAAGCATGCCACAGTCAATGCGCTCGCCGCAACTCCCGTCATGTAGGTATCCAACATCCACAGCAATGGATATTCTTCCGGATACGATCTACCGGGTGCAGGTGCCTCTAATAAGCAATGTATCCATATAGCCGAAATGTTCATAATTCCAAAAGCAGCATAGGACACGACCCATGTGTAGTTATTCTTGGAGATGGAGGTGGATGATGATGATGATGATGATAGTTGAATCGCCCCATAAAATCCCACTACAATTCCACCAATCGCAGCCAGCAACAGCATTGGTTGTCGAATAATAATAATGGCATGTCCTATTTCATTGACTTCTCCTGATAGAAAAAACGAAGGCACAACTTGCGGCGTAGAAATGGTGATTTCGGGACAGGTTTCGGCAGTGGCATCTGGAAATAAAATGTCATGAAACACCAAGGAACCATTGGGCACTTGTGTGGTCAGAAATTTGGTGAATGCTGGAAAGAACTTTTCAATGGTTTGTTTGCTCATTGCTATGGTGATAGTAGTGAGGATCCTGTGCTTATATTTTTATCGTGTGGTCGTCGTATATGAGGATGAGGATGAGTTGCATCCAATTGATGGCAAGTGAATTATTGCAACGTTTCAATCATTTTCTGTTTTGATGTCTCAAGGTCGATGTGTTCGTTTTCATGTTCGATGATGTCCGTGAATGCTGTCCGCTTCGTTGAATCGCCTTTCCCGTTCGTTCGTGCTCTCACTATGTTTTCCAATCGGATCCAAAGTGTTCTTACTTCTGACAACACCCCTCTCTGTCTTCCAATCTCACAATACCAACTCTTCATCATCACTAAAATACAATGCAAACTATTCTTGTTACTGGCGCAAACACTGGTGAGTCAATCAGTGCAAATTTGTGTGAAAAAAAGAAAAGAATGAATCAATCAATCAATCAATCAATCGTCAACTTATTGTTCTTGAAAGATATCCAATTTCTCATTTCGTTGCATCTTTCTTCTCTTTGAAACTAACCCTTTCAGGAATCGGCTTGGCTCTCTGCAAGCAGCTATGCAAAGATCATGGCGCCAAAGTCTTTCTTGGCTCCCGCAGCGTTGACAAGGGACAAGCTGCTGTGAAGGATGTCTTGGATTATGCCGGAGCAGATGCCAAGGTGGAGCTTGTCCAGATCGATGTTGGAAACGACGAGTCGGTCCAGAAGGCAGCTGCTTCCTTGAAGGACAAGGGTATCAAATTGACTGCCATTGTCAACAACGCTGGAACTGGTTTGGCACATGGATCATCCGATGAAATGGTCCTCAATGTCAATGTCATGGGCCCCAAACGAGTGGTGGATGCCTTTTCCCCACTTTTGGATCCAGCTGGTTCCAAAATTGTCAATGTGGGGAGTGGTGCTGGCCCCATGTACGTCAAGAAGCAAACTTTGAAGCGCACCAAATTCTTTGTCAATCCCAACATTACCTGGGAGGAAATCCAGGCGGAAGTCGAAAAGGGATGTACCAAAGACGATCCGGGACACGGCCCCATGGGTAGCTATGGTTTGTCCAAGGCCTTGGTGGCCAGTTATACCATGTTGCTAGCCCGCGAAATGAAGGACAAGAACGTCTCGGCCTTTTGCCTTTCGCCAGGATACATCGATACGGCAATCACGGCGGGTTTCGACGGTGGCAAGCCAGTCGAAGAAGGCACGGTTTCCATTCGGCACTGCCTCTTTGAAGCGAAACCTGAAGAAAGCGGATGGTTCTTTGGTTCCGATGCCAAGCGAAGCCCCTTGCACTTTTTGAGAAATCCAGGTGAACCAGTCTTCGATGGCCAAATCAACCTCAGTGAAGTGGCTTGAATTTCTTTTTTTTAAGTTAATAATATTCTTGCTTTTCATAAAAAGGATTAGACTATATAGTGGTACAAGTATATAATAATAATGTACATGATGGTCATCGTACATGTTCTTTTTTATGACAATGGTACAAACTTTGTCTTTGTTTCTTCGTGCTTCAAGAACTGTTGGCCTCGATTTCCAAGAGTTTCGGGCATGGCGACTCCAAACAGAATGATTGGGAAAATCGAAATGAAAAAGGATCCTGCCAGCGATGCCGTGTGTCCAAAGTATTCCACCACCATTTGCCCGACTGGAGAAACAGAAAAGAAAAAAGAGTGAGTTGAATGTATTATAACATGCTTTTCATATAATCTGATCAGTGCGAGGACCAAAACCTACAGAAATTACTCATGGTTCCTCCCAAACCAAAACAGGACGCCGTCAGCCCCATGATAACATTGAATCGACCGCTTCCAAAGGTGATGTCAGCCACCAACAATGGATGCAAGAGCCCAAAGAAACCTCCGCCAAGACCGTCCAGTATTTGTGTGGATAACAGCCATGAGTCGCCCATGTCTTGCCACATGATAATCAAGGCACATCGCAACGGCAGTGTCAAAAGTCCTGCCATGAAGAGTGGCTTGCGCCCAATTCCACGATCCGTAAGCTTCCCACCGACAATGGTGGCTAGACTCATGGTGGCCTGCGCCAAGACAATAGCACCTGCAATGAGTGGAATTGCAGATCTGCTGGGACCATCGTCGTCATTGTCACCAGCTTGACCCATTAGCTCTCCAAGTACCAACAATACATTGGCATTGGCAAAATGAAAACTCCATCCAGTAATACACAGTACTAAGGTCTTGCGATCAGAAAAGACTTCCAAGTAACTACTCGCTTCTGGAATTTCAGTAGGAGTTAGCTTTGGATCCCCCGTAAACAGTCCTTCCTTTTGATTTCCAATATCCGATGACGATGGAGGTGGCATATCCGACATGGAGGATGGCACACGTTCCAAGTTACCTTGTTCGTCCATGGCTACATCGCCTTGGAATCCTCTTCCCATGAGCGGGTCTCCTTGTGGAACAAATCGCACGAACACAATGGCAATCAATGCGGATAGACCAATCACAAAGAAACAGTATTGGATATTGGGATAGAAGATGTACGCCACGGAACCTGCCAGTCTGTAATATTGGAGTGGAAAAGAGAGAGAAATGGATATCAGTGCGATCGATATTTTCTGCCAACCATAATGCTCGACATGGTTCTATATGATGATAGATGCCAGTAACTGTTTGAACACACTCACAATGCCGAAATGACAGATCCAATATGACCCCACAAAATATTCGAAGCCATGATGGCATCAAAATGTTCCGGCCCAAAGTTGGCCAATGTCAGCGAGGCCAAACAAGGCCCAATGAAGGAAGATGCAATCCCCTCAATCACCTTTGTCCCATACATGAGCCCCTGTTCCGAATCTCCTTGCACCAGTAGAATAGCGGACGCCGATAGGGCCGTGACAATGGACGCCACCACCAAGAATAATCGTCGATCAAACAAGGTCTTATCCACTATATCCCCCGCCACGGTTTGGACCAAGAGGGCCGTCAGACCCATCAAACTGAGTGCAATTCCGACGGATCCTTCGCTCCAACCCATATTCACCAGGTAGATACCCTGAAAGATATTCAATCCATCCCCCAGTTCTCCCAAGGCAAACGACACCAAGGCAAAGGCGACTGTGATGTGGCACGAATGTGAGGGCCATGATGGATGATGATGGATAAAGATGCAACACGCAAGAACTGCAAGATGAGCGCACCGCAGCAGATGCACAGATTGAAAATGTCATTTTTTGATACGGGAAACGCATACCTTTGGGACTGAAATGACCAACGTGCTGAGTGTCAAACATGATGAATGATGAATCAAAGAACGGTGTATAGTGATATTGGTCTGCTTCTATTTTGTTGTTTTGATTGTGCACAGAAGATGTCGATTGATCATCATCTTCAACTGCAATGTTTCATCATGCTCTTTTTGAAATATATTTGCACGCACGTGCCTGCCGTTAGTATGCGACTCATTCGAATAGCGATCGAACCATGAGACTGAGACTGAGACTGCGACGATGAAGGTTTTGCGATGATGATACATCACAGAGCACCTTTCAGGAAAAAATGTAACCAGAGTTGATCACTGATGTACATATGCACGTCTCGGGATTTGTGCATGGAAACAGTCAGTCGAGCAATAAAGAGAGGCTGTGCGACGCCGAGTTGTATAACTTTGCGCTTACGCAGATTATTGATCTAATCTACCGGTATCTCTCATCGCTTTGCGCATTCTGGATACAAATCAGTAATGTGCCCATCATATATACTTTGGAAACGAGGATGAAAGAATTTTCTGGAGATGTGACGGATCTAGTCGTTCATTCTCTCGTTCGAGAGATTCCGAACGGAGCTTGTTGCAACTGATTTGCTCGGCTGACACGCGTCATCTTCAATGGATCCGCTCTAAGGACAATCGGAGAGGGCACCTTCTATGATTGTGTAAACTTGTTGGAAATCGAAATTTCTCCGTCCGTGGCGGCTGTTGCGCAGAGTATGCCTTTTCAGGATGCCGGTCGTTGACGAAAGTTTAGTTTCCTGAAGATTGTTCGTTGACTACCAGTGGAGAGTTTGTGCGAATCCTTGTCTGATGTCAGCATTCCCTCTAGTGTGGAGGCAATTGGAGAGAATGCATTTGAATGGTGTGCAAGTATTGGATGGAAAGACGTGGACGGAAAGACGGCCATTTGAATACTTGACTGAACGCAGCTTTCATCGGTCGGAAGACTCACTAAACGTGCTTCGAATGGCTCTTCAAGTATGGCCGGTGGGTTCTATATCGAGTTGGAATGGACTGGAAGCATGGAAATCGGACATGCGGAATAGGGCCAATACGATTGTTGCTTAGGATGAAGTGGAACAAAGGCAATCTTTGCCTCAAGAAGCATCGATTGGTTTGTCAATCTGCGAGCGGATGGAAGCTACAGCTACGTTCGAGTTGTCTCTTTGGAAATTGGAGATGGAATCGGCAAACGATTGATTCATTAGCAGTTATACAGCAAGAACTACCGTCATCCAAGACGACCGAGAGGCATACCGTATTCGAAGTGGTGCTTCAGTTGTCATTCCGAATGTGATATCATTCATTTATGAATCTCATCTAACATACCAGTAGGCCGGCGATAAGATAGACAATACTTCAATTGACTTTATAGACAATCGTAACGTGAACAGGGATATATACTAGTACACCTCTGGCTGAATGCTGAAGAAAGTCAGACTATTCTGGTAGATCTATAGCTGCAAGTGGTAGTTGAGAAATAATTGAAGGAGACGTAACACGACAATAACCCCAACTCTTTTTGAATCAAAGTGAACGAAGTAATCTGAGACTGACTACTTTGTAGGCCACCGTGCTACTGTGTGTCTCAAATCTTGATTGTAGCTCTAAGCAACCAATGAACAACAAGATAGTAAAGAGTATTTCAAGTAAAAGCTATGTTACAAATTCCATTTGAAGTGGACAATTTATTCAGATCCAAGTTCTTTGCATCATGTGAGGAGAAGACTTGAACAGCTGAAGTACAGCAGTGGAAGAGCGCCACGAAACAGCTCTCTTTCCTCTCTTCTTTATTTCTTTCTTTCTTTTTCACGTGTTTAGCCCTCCACCATTGCGCTATTGGGAGTGGTGGTAAGTTTATTGGACGACTTTTTTCGTGCTGCAATTCGTGATTTGGCACTGTCGATAACGTTTCGCATAACCTCTTCCCGATTGGCAACAGCTGGTGCCAACAATTCAATACTCTTTTCAATTTCAACACGAGCTTGCTTCTTCTTCTCGGCCTTGGCATCTTGCATGCGGTTCTCAAAGAATCGTGCATCTCTGGTTTGTTGAATTTCCTCGACACGTCGCATGGCCACAATAGTCTTTCCCATCAAACCGCGATCGTACTTGACAGGACGATTGCGTCTCTTTTCAAAGTCAAAGGTAGAATCGACGGCCATTTCCTTCCCACGCGTTCTACGATAGGCCTTGGTCCAGGCAACCTTACGAGGATTGCGTTTCTTGTTGAAATTGCGATGGCATTTGGACCGGCAGAATCGGAACCTCTTGCTATCATTACGAACAAAGAGCATTCCATGTCCTGGATAACAGGGGGATGAGCAAAAGTAGCATTTTTCGATCCTCATGGTATTGTTGGGAGAAACGAAGCACCTATTGTGTTTTTTCTATTTTTCTGTTTTCTGTTTCGGCGGATGCAAGAAAAGAATGGATGGTGGGTTGTGACGGATGAACGACGTACTCTGGGAGGAAGTGGTTTATTTTCAATTTGCTTCCCCTCTTCCTTGGAAATCCCTGCTCCCCGTTTATCGTCTTATTCGGTTTGGTCGAGCCACCGCCCGAATGAAATCAATATCATCGCACCATCGTGATCATCGTCACCGCCATACATCCCTGCTGTCGTCATTAAAGTATACGGATTGTGAATTTTGAGGATCTCTGCCTTGTTTCATCCATCTGTCATTCTTCCCTTTCGTCGACTTCCTCATGAACATATCTTGATCTGTTCAATTCAAGCTTAAGCATAAGAATATCTTGACGGCGCAAGCAACAACAGAAGATCCAACAACATGTTGATGACAGGATTTTTGTCGTTGAATGTGCACGATTCTTTGACATTTGATGGTGCAGAACTATGTTTACATCCTGACTTGTTTCCTATCTCGTCGACTTCAGCGACTGGCAGCACCAATGGTGGTAATCATACAGGTCTTGCACCGGGGGACATGATTGAAATCCGTGTTTGGGATCCATTGCCGCAGAGTGTCATCGCGTCTTCGGCGTCTTCCGCCGCATCCATCACAACAGCAATAGGACCAACGAGCGTAATCAATACCCCGGCATCAACTCCAGTCAGTACGTTGAATCGGAGTCCACCAGAACCCAGACGAAACAATTCCGCAAACAATAGTCTCGCCGGAACTCTGACCCCTACTGGCGGAAACACTAGCGTAATAAGCAACCAAAATTTGCGACTGGCGCCTTCCCTTATGAAGACTCCAACTCCATTTACCACACCAAATCCAGCATCATCTCATCCTACCCCTGCACAACCTTCGAATTCTGCGGCGTCCACGCCCACGGCGGGAAGTATGTCATATGCCAGTGCTGTGGCGGGTACCAGCACTGCCCCGGCCATTCCCAATGAATCAGTCACCAATGTTCCGAGCAAAATTCAAACCACGAATCTCCGTCCTCGAGCTCCGTCACTGACAAATTCATTGGCGTACTCTGTCGAGTCAGAGAACCCGCAAAGTGGAACCCGTGCTGTCGTGGACGCCAATAGCAGCAACCAAAGCGTAGACACATCAGCTTCCACTGTCAAGGGAGGAGACGACCATATCACCACCAAATCCGTGGGTGAAGAATCCAATGGATCGGCTTCGGCGCAAGACGCGGCAACAGCTGCTACACCTCCGACCTACAACTTACTTTCGAAATCACCAATAACTTCACCGGCCACGTCCGTCACGCTTCCATCGACAGCTGCCGCAAATGCAGCTGCCACAGCCGCCTCGTTGCCACCCGTCTTTCCCAGGGGGCAAGGCAGTACCTCGGATACCGTGTCTTTGATGGGCACTCTTCACAAACCCAAACCCATTGGCATGACTCGTCGTTCCAGGACTGTTGCTTCGACGACCAATACCACTGGCAGTAATACTGCTCCCACTAGTTCGCGGCCCCTGGCATACCCGTCCAAGGCTACTGGTCCACTCCATTCTCGAGATATTTCGGATGTCACCGTGGATACTCAGCAACTGGACAATATGGATTTGCTGCAGGCTGCTGGTTTGTACAGCGATGGCAACACGGACCACTTGATTCCTCCCGAAAACTCCTTTCCACCACGCCAGAATCTTGCCAATGCGATGGCCAATGTAAGCACTGGTAGCGACAGCAAAAAATTGAGGTCGACGCATAGCTTGCGATTGTCCTTTGTCCTACTGGTGACCAACCAAACGTTGACAACTCTCAAGGGGAACACTCGGACGCAAATTTCCATGTTGCGACAAGTAGCCGACTTGTATGCTTTGTCGAGATATGACACAGTGACAGTCCACAAGATTACCAAGGAAGATGAGGAAGAAGCACTCAAGGCTGTCTCCGCTGATTATGTTGTGGTCACTATCAAGGATCAATTCATTTCAAGAGGGGATATGCTGTACTTTCAGCATACGTTAAAGGGCTCGTGGATTTACGAAGGCGAACGACTCATGGAACAAAGCAAGGGTATTAAGGCACATGCCCGCGAAATTCGGCATGGGAATGCTTCGGCAAAGTCAGGAATCGTGACGGACGAAACCATGATCACATTTCGAAGTCGATCGGCCCGTATTTTTTGGTTGGTTCAACTGAGTTCCGAAATGTGGGAATACTCGTCGCCGTACGACCCTGTTGCCAATCAAGTTCCTATTTGTGAGATTTACTTTGACAAGTGGATTCGATTTTTGCACAAGCTGTTCACGAAATGGAAGGTAATGGAGGTGACACACTCATTGACGGTTATCTTCTTTAGTCGGACCCTCATCTACAATGGCGAAAATTCGACCTTCAAACTTGCGGATGTGTATGGTCGACCATACGAGGTAAGTCTCTTTGGTATCTGAGGCAGGGGTCGTCTCCTTGGCATTGTTCAGTATCTAACCATGAATCGATTTTTTCTCGTTTTAAGGATCATTTCAAAACAGTCATCGAGAATGAGACTTGTATGGATTGGCATTCGTTGTTGGTTCGTATCAAGGAGGCATTCGTACAGTATCCCTTTGAAGTGGGCTGGTCATTGGACCGGCGTCCGACGAATGCAAGTCAAGGCAATGTTTTGGAAGCTATCAATCTCACACTGAACGTGATGCAATTCCACTACTTGGATCGTGATCTTCATAGAACTGGAAATTCACTCGTTGTCATTTCTCCAGGTTGTGGTATATTTGAGGTGAATAAAAGACTAGCGGAGATTACATACAAACGAATGATGGATCATGGTATTGGGAGTGATATGCTGAGTTTGGGCCTCCCACCTCTTCACATTGCCCCTATCTTCTTGTACGCGGTAAGTCTTCGACTAGAGAGACTTGTGCTTAAAAGCTCTAAACTCACCTTTTTTTGGCTGCTCCAGGTTGATCCAAGGGCTGGAACAGAAACAAGCGGTGGACATTATGAAGTTCCGCATTGGATGCATCTATCGTTCATAAACTATGACAGGGACGATGGAGTTGGTCACCAAGAAGAAAAGAAGGACTCCAGCCCAGTGAACAAGAACAAAATCTTGAGATCTTGGATGGATTCCTATGAAGTCGCATCGAATGGCTTTCTCCGTCCAAAAATTGACGTTGAGGGACGCATTGGCCCTGGCGATGGGGACCGGGCGAAAAGTTTCTCTGCGATTGGCAACGCTGCAGCCACTCCTGTCAAAGCCAAATCCGAAGCAAAGCAAGAACGGCAACTTATTGAGGGTAGGGACTTTCGAGATATCTTGGATGCTTGTAGGCCGAAGGTTAGATCCGTGATTCCTTCCCCGCTGCTATTTATTTTGAAACAGATCGTAGATCAAGACGAAACGGGTCAAACAAAATGGATGGATGAAGCAAGGGCCAGTCCTCTCGTAGAATGGGGAACCGCCAATACGGCCGAGATGATTGCACAGGATCGACTGTTGATACAGCACCTACAGTCGACGTCACGGAAGAAGAAGGATGTGGCACAAAGCGGCAGAGCAAACAGCGAGAGTGGCTCGAGTACCAGTTCCAAAGTTGATTATTCACAGATATTGTCTACGACACCTCTTTCCACTTCGCCTAAGATCTTCCAGCTGCAGCGCTCGAATTCCATTAAGCTTGGACAGATGTCTTTTCTACCGAAAAGGGCGCCATCACCCTCGATGCTAAACGATGACAGCTTGTCCGCTAGTGCAAGCACTGCATCAGGGTCTTCACTGGGAAAGCACTCACTCGAGATGAAATCCACACTTGAAACAAAAGCGGAAGTGACAATTGGCAGCAACCCAGATGAGTCTGGTATGATGGACCAAAATCAACATATCATGCACCTAAGACAATTGATGGAAGATCATGATGCGGTAGTATGCTCGCCGTTGCTGGCTGAAGTTCAGCCTTCCAGCGAAGTCCAAAGGTTATCAAATACTAAAAGATCGATTAGTCCCGCAGTAACCTCGAGGAAAAAGTCGTAAGTCCAAATGCGTCATCACACTCGTCTCTCTAAGCTTCGCCAAGGTTAACAACTTTGAATTCGTAGACCACATCACGGCGGACTTGGAGATGCTTTGTCTCGATATGAAACTAAGAAACCTCGGGAATCAGCACGAACCCTTAGATCTCTCAGCGATTTGCATCAGACATCTTTCAAACAAGACCGACCACGCAAATCATCACCATTGCTGAACCCAAAGAGTGAACGGGGACAGAGAGCAATATCACCAGTTATGCTGTCTCCTCCTGATTCAGAGCTCAACCAAACCCATCCCCATGCGACAAATAAGGATGAAACTAGCCACAGCTTCAGCAGGCATGTTTCGACACGGGACAGCAGATTACATGCACACAGATCAGGATTTGGTTCCACGAATACTCTTCCTGCTCTCGACTTGAGTAATCATGGAGGTAGTCCCACAAGTCAATTCAGGGTAAGTTCTCCCTTTAAATTGCAACCCTGAAGTCGTACCAGGTTTCTAATTTTCTGGATATAGGGTTCTTCGGCGTCAGGTATGAGGCAAATTTACAAGCAAAAACCACACTTGCTATCTAAAAGCCCCCCTGTTAGCGCTAGTAGGCTTCAAAGCGGCACGTACGGATCTAAAGTAGGACAATCCTCGAGTCCTTCTCGCAGTGGATCCCGCGATAGGTCAGGCCACCGTAGATCGAGATCTGCTGCAAATAGTCGGAATGGTGTTGTTCCCCAAAGACAAGCGTCCTATAATCCATTCCGACAGAGTGATGAAGACGAAGTGCTTGCTACACGATCACACGAACGTCGAAGGTGGAGCCATGTCTTTGCTGAGGGAGAGGTTGAGTTCAAACGACACGCTGGCCCAATTTGGAACAGTCTCACTTCACCGGCAATTTTGCCCCTTTCTGTTGATTATCTGCCATCACCACAAGAGATGCGCGATGAAAGGAGGTTTCTATTCACACCCTACAGCATCACCCTGAGTGGAATTGAGAAGAGTTTCTACAACACTCACGACGAGTTGATTATGGAGATGGTCCGAATGAGGGTGACGCAAGATTATCAGATCGTTACGGCCAAAGCAGTCAGAGAAAGCAACAATCGTGTTGAGAAACCACGGGAAGGTGTGTGGAAAGTGCTATGCAGAGAGTGTTTGTTTTGAACACTCCAATCTAACTCCCTTGTGACTCTTTTCTGAAGGACGCGGAGGAGTTTCTACAAAAAGGAGAGGGAAATTCGATCGCAATTCTGAACCAGACAAGAATGAAGCGAGCAAGCATTATCTGTCAATGGGACACATGTAAGTCATCAGGCCCGTTGTTCCATTCGTTAGCAATCTTTCTCAGCTTGCATTATTGCATGTAGCATACAAGTTATTCACTACGACCCAAGCAATGATACTATTGCGGTTGTTGTCTACCTTGAGGCGAGAGACTACGATAATTACAAGAACTACTACGACTATGAGTACTTGCTCTATTCAGATGCAACAAATGTGAGTTTTGGATTTTTTTAGCGACCCATTATTGATACAACTCATTTCCTTTTCGTTGCAGCAATATGTAAAGTCAAGCCAAACGTTTGCCAAGTTCAAGGAAATTTATCGATGGAACATGAGCGACAACATCATGTGTGGAGAATACGGGACAGAATTAATGACAGTGATGATAACCAGGAGCCTAATTTTTTGTCTTCTCCCCCCGTCTTTTCCAGATGAAGTCTCCGAGAAAGCCTATGTATCGAAATTCAAAAGGCTCCTTGAATATCTTGGTAGATTACGAGAAAAAGAAGAAGCAAAAACAGATCTTGGAGTGGAAATAATGACCAGTTCTGACTGCGCAGAACCCAATCTTGAAACACTTCCATCAATGAAGAAAGCTAACGATTCCTTTGTTCAGTTCATCGTAAGGCTGCAGCGGGGCAAACAAGATCCAGTCGAATGGCTACAAATCTCAATTGAATCCGTCTTCGTCCCTACTCGGTCCTACAAAATATTTTTCAATTGGCTTGTTGGGAGTTCATCAAAAGTTGAAGGGCAAATACAACTGTTGCATCGGCGCTGTTCTCAGTTTGGTCTCCGTCTCGTCGCCATTCCACATACAACTACATTTGAAAACTTGCAACAGCACGCAGTAAGCATTCCAAACTTTTTTGTGCATTCGTGACAAAGCAAATACCTCACATTCCAATATAGTTTTCTGTGCCCACATTCATTTGTGTTCGGAGCAAAGAAACTGTTGACGGTCTCGATGCTCTTCTAAAGAGCAAGGATTTTATCTACGAAGGGGTCGAGGTAACAAAGCCAGGCCGGATTCTTCAATCCATCGAAAACCGCAACGACTATAATTTTGAAAGGTTTCACTGGGCGAAAAAAAAATTTCATCGTGTGGCTTCGAAGCAATACATCCATCGTTCAGGGGCACTGGTTGTGCGGATGATTCCTGATTCCCAAGGGTTAGCTATATTGGCATTGATTGAGAACCGAAAGAATGCGAGTAGAGAGAATAATTTCAAGGAGATTGCGAGGAACCTCATGCTTGATTTGCAGCAAACGATAAAAGACTACAAGAAGGCTGAGCCGAAGATGACTGAAGAAGAAAAGAAGCTTGAAGTGAAGATGGCCGAAGAAAAAGCCGAAGAAAGCGAGAAGGCCAAAGACAGCGAAAAGCTCAAACCGAAACCGGTAGAAAACAATGAGAAGGCCGAGCCGAAGATGATAGAAGAAACCAACAAGCTCAGACAGACACCGATAGAAGTAAGCGAGCAGGCCGAGGCAAAGATGGTCGAACCGAGAGCATCAGAAGAAATCGAAAACGCCAAAACAAAGGTGCAAGAAGACAACCAAAAGCCCGAAGCAAATTTGGTAGAGGAAAGCGAGAGGATCGAGCCCAAGATGGTTGAAACAAAGTGGGCAGAAGACAACCAACAAGTAGAAGCGAAACCGGTAGGAAACAGCGAAAAGATCGAGCCAAAGATGGTAGAAGAAAACGACAAACTCGAACAGACACCGGCAAAAGAAAGTGCGAAGGCCGAGGCAAAGATGCTCAAACCGAAAGCACAAGAAGAAATGGAAAACGCCGAAACGACTTTGCAAGAAGACAACGAAAAGTCCGAATCAAATTCGGCAGAGGAAAGCGAGAGGATGGAGCCGAAGATGGTGGAACCAAAAGCAGCAGAAGAAAGCGAGAAGGTCAAAACGACGAGGGTAGGAGGCAAGCAAAAGCTCGAACCGAAACAGGTAGCAGACACCGAGAAGATCGAGCCGAAGATGGAAGAAGAAAGCGTCGAAACAACGGTGGCAGAAGACAACTAAAAGCTTCAGCCGAAACTGGTAGGAGACAGCGACAATGTTGAGCCGAAGATGGTAGTCGAAAGCGACAATCCCGAACCGGAATCGGCAGAGGAAAGCGACAGGGCCGCGCCGAAGTCGACAAGTGAAGTATAGCGCTGAAGATTCTTGTATAAATATCGATTACTCTCATTTACTTGCAAGAACAAGGTGTCTTGCAATTGACGCTTGCTTAGACATATTCTCAATCGTAAAATCTACCTCCTTACTGCCATCTCGTCGCGGATGCCCATGACACTCGCTTCAACTCGGGACCTATGTGTTATTGTCTTGTAAAGTGCAGCAATGTATTCCTGGTCTTTGACACCTTGTTCAGATTGGTACTTTTGTTCGTCAAGGACCGCTTGTCTCGCTCTTGCCCTGTTGCTGTTTCGGTGATAGGCACCCATGGGTGTTTTGTGCTCCAACCCTCGGAATTCGCTTTTATCGCCTCGTAGTGGATGCATTGACTTTTGGACAACGTTGATACAGTCCTGTCGGATTCGAAGAAAGTCATGTGGTCTTATCCAATAGTTTTCCTTCTCATCCTCGGTAACAATCGGAAAAACTTGAATCAATACTTGATCTTGAAATCGAGTGGTCTTTCTTGGAACGGTACAGGTACTTTCACCTGTGAATTCTTCATGTGAAATTGAAAGCGGTGGCATGGTATCGAAATTGTTTGTGTGGGTTGTAGTATAGTGCTGTGTCGCGTTTTATTCAGCGATTTTGTGTGCAATACGATCAGAGTTGAAGGAATTGGTATTTTATGAGACCCGCGTAACCAAACTGAAATTTCGCGACTATGACAAAGATCTTGGTACGGGCCGGCACGCTCTCTATGCTTGCGACGCCGACAATTTTGGTTCCCGCCACACAAAATTTTGTGTCGTTGAAGATTGGCGCACAAAAATAACATGTGCATCCTATCGGTAAATGGGATGTTGCATTGCTGCATACGGATATAATTAGAGCTTTCACACGCAAGATTCCTTCTTATTCGAGGAAACAGTACCAATACATAGACAAAACAAGGCGGGGGAGACTCCGTCGAAACATGAAAGAAACTGGTTTTGCGCCTTGTTGCTTCGAATATATTCATTACTGTCTACTCTCGTTCGTTATTTCAGTGTAGCCGATGATTCTTCCTTCTCGACGATCGCGCTGATTTTCGTCGGCCGGGGATCAACAAAACCGATGCAAGATATATGATTGAACAACATGGCAACCTGTGTCGAAATACCACACATTGGCGACCTCGAGAAAGATATTATTGACGCAAAACGGTTGAGTGGCAAAGAAATGAGTGACATAAAAAATGCATGGCTACCGAGGAGTGGAGAACAAGCCGTGTACTGTTTCCAAGGGCTCTAGTACCGAACATTGGAAGACAATCGAAACGCGCGCAAGAACAAGAGCATTGTTCGCACAGCCGTCATAGTACAGCAGCAAATGCATGGCGCTGGAGGCAACCCAGGAAGAGTAGAGTTTGCTCCCATGTGGGATTAATTGGTATCTCAAAGGAAGCAGCGGTGGAACGAGCAAAGCGTTTTACCCAAGAGTACCTCGCACAGCAGTAGATACCGATTGTCTTGTTTCAAGAGCAACAGTGGGCACGCTTCCGCTACAGGTCAAACAGCAGCTACAGTAAAATGCCATTCAATTTCAAACGTTTCAATAGTAGCAACTGAACTATTACACGGTACCGGTATATTAATATATGACCATCGTTTATTTTTTATATTTCCACTCGGAAGAGTCCAAGTAGTCCATTCGAAATGAAATGAAACACCTCATCGTTTCATCAGAAGTATTTGGTGTCATCATGACATCATGACATCGAGTCATCACGGCGATTTCATCTGATGGGTGGGTCGTGTTTTTTCTCCACCATGTCGATGCAATTGCATTCTTAACCAAAGATAGGACTCAAGCTCAATATACTGTCGAAATAAAAAAAAATCAATCATGGCACCTAAAGGCAACAACTCGATCGATACTGAAGCCACAAGCAAAAATGCGATCCAACAGCCTGAGAACAAACCCGAGGCTGAGGTTATGCAAAATGTTGATGTCGAAACGCTCGTCGAGCGTTGTCTCAAGTTATCGCACTATGCCATAGGCAAACAAACAGACACCGCAGATGTCCTACCTCCTCTGCTTCAGTGTCAAACTGCTTCATTCAATGAACACCAACAAATATTTGTGGGCATTGCCGGAACTCCCGGCTCTGGAAAATCCTTCATAGCTCATCAAGTTTGTGACGAAATCAATCGACGCAACCCGAATGGTGATGCCGATGCGCCAGAGTGTGTCGTTGTTGGCATGGACGGCTATCACCATACACGAAAACAGCTGAAAGAAATGGCGGAAAGTGGCCACAAGTTTAAAGTGGATCACCTTGAAGATGGGAAATTCAAAGTGAAAAATGTAACAATGGAATATGAGGAACTCATGGCACGACGAGGTGCTGCTTTCACCTATTGTCCCGACAGTTTCATTCGTGATTTGGGCATTATTAAGAAGACTGGGCAAGGCTCGTTTCCAGAGTATAGTCGAGAGAAGCACGATCCTGTACCTGATGGGGTAAAAGTGCAGCCGTCCAATAAGATCATATTGGTGGAAGGATTATACCTCCTATGTTTGAATGATCCAGACTGGCAACCCTTGAGAGATTTATGGGACGATACTTGGCTCATCGATGTATCATTGCCAGAAACGAAACGCCGACTGGTAAAACGTCATTTGAAAACATGGGACGACAGGAAAACAGAGTACTGGGGTGGAGACGACGAGGCAGCAGCAACTCGTAAGGCCGAAGCAAACGATCTCATCAATGCAAAATGCATTCAAGAGAACTCCAGAGACTTTGCCAATCTGATCATCAAAAATGAAACCATTCCTGAAGACGATTCCAACAATGCAGATTGCGAAGCAGCATAAGGAATGGTGACACCAGACTAAGTCGTCTATCTAGCAGCTAGTAATTCAAACTGAAAAATTCAACCTCCCACCCATTCGTTGTTTTAAAAAAGTTAGAAATATGAACAAATCAAAGCGAGTGAAGCATGGATCGCAATCATATGCTAGCAACCAACAAGAGTTCAGAAAAACAGCTTTGGAAAGATCTAGAGCGAGAACGGGTTGAGTAGACAGAAAAGTATGACCCACAACTGAGGAAGGTTCATTGTCACAAGTCTTCGCCACTTGGATGGGCTCTTCTGCTCAGGAGGACCGCCTGGCGACGATAAAAATCACGATAAGAACTTTGTTATTATCACTTGTAGATAAACTTTTCGTCGGCATTTCTATTCAACACGCAAGAAACGCAGTCTTCGGAGTGGTTTCTCGCGTTTTCTAGTGGACTGCATACATTTCATGTCGTGAATATGTCGCCTCTCTGAGATTCCCTAAGCTCTGTTCGCGTGTTGCACTTTGTACACGTGCTCAGAACTATTTGTGAGGATCAGAAGTCAGAAGTCCGGAATATCTATAAATATTTTTTATGTTTTAAAACCCCAGACTAAAATTGGCCACATAATTTGCCACAGGTGGCGAAGTTGATTTATTCCTCCGATCGGATTGTCCCTCACATGGTGCCGTTTTCTGATTGAAGGAAAGGATATATACTGCACCTTCGTCACCACCGTCCACGAAATGACTGTTGAACCTGTGGGTTCAACCTACCTCTGTCTTCAGTCTACGTTAGAAGATCAGAAGTTCAAAACAGTTGATTTATTCCTCCGATCGGATTGCCAATATCATTGTGCGCTTCTGATTGGAAGCAAAGGACATTTGAATGTATCATGATGTTGCGGAAGTTGGGTCGTGTGGCTTGTGGTGTGTATGTTTACCACTTGCTCATAAACAGGGCTCGTTGCATAAAATTAAACGAGACTTCAGAAAGAATAAAACAAACGAAACCATGGCACCAAAAGAAACAGACTACCTCTCCATTGGAATTGATACAATTCATTTGGACCGTCAATCCAATGATCCCAAGGCACAAACTATAGCAACAGTGGATATTGGCTTTCTGGCAGACCGCTGTCTTCGACTACTAGATGACGCCAAAAGTAGTAGCACAGGTAGCGAAAGTCCTTCAAAGGCTCTATATCGACGTCAGTCCTCTTCCTTCAATGACCACCAGCAGATTTTTGTTGGCATTGCAGGAACTCCAGGCTCTGGGAAGTCGTTCATTGCACGTCAAGTATGTGACGAAATCAACAGGCGTGATAGGAATAACAATTCCGATGCACCCGAATGTGTCGTGGTTGGCATGGACGGCTACCACCTCTCACGACAGGAGCTGAAAAAGCTATCGGAAAGTGGCCACAGGTTTAAAGTGGACGAATTCGAAAATGAGGAACTCAAGTTCAGTTACGTCCCCATGTCCTACCGACAAGTCATGTCTCGCCGAGGTGCTGCCTTTACCTATTCTCCCGAAACATTCATTCGCGATTTGGGCATTATCAAGGAGACTGGACAAGGCTCGTTTCCAGAATACTGTCGAGAGCTGCATGATCCTGTGCCTGGCGGAGTCATGGTGAAGCCATGCAATCGAATCATTCTTGTGGAAGGTTTGTACTTGCTGTCTTTGAATGATCCAGCCTGGAAACGTCTCGGGAATTTATGGGACGATACCTGGTTAGTCGATGTATCGCTACCCGAAACAAAACGCCGACTGGTGCAACGCCATTTAGAAACATGGGATGACGGGAAAACGGAAATGTGGGGTGGCAACGATGCTGCTGCAGCAACTCGAAAAGCAGAAACCAATGATCTCGTCAATGCAAAATGCATCCAAGAAAGCTCCCGGGACTTTGCCAATCTCATCATTCAAAATGAACGTATTCCCGAAGATGAAGAAAACCATTCACCCACGTTGAAGCGTCAGGAAGCATTCTCCAGTCGATCGGAGAGCCCACCATGAGCATTGGAGGCAAGTTGTTACCGTTGCTACCGTTGATTTTGATGATCATGCTAGATACAATCCATTAATATAGATTATAGAGCTACCGACGCTTATAGACCACACCAGATGACCCTTTCTACGTGTCTATCCAAGACCAGCTTTGGTGATTAGCCCGCATTTTTTGGTCCGTAATCGAGAAATTCAGGTTCTCGAGTATGTTCATCTTTACCAATATAGACATAGCGGTCGTCACCACGCGCATAGTTATGGTACTCCCAACCGGTGACGATTGTTGGGTTTGTTGCGTTCTGGCGGTTGTAGCCGTCGTTAGATTGGTTGGTGTCGCTCCTCCTAGTGTTGTTGTTATCCTTACTATTGGTCACCACAGCATGTCCAACATGAAAAACTCTGTTGCCGCTGCTGTTGGTACCTTTTCCTTTTCCGCTCATGATAGTCTCAATTGTTCCCTTCTTTGGTGATTAGAGTTGTATTCGAAACGGGAAGAATAAAATCTTTGTTGACAAAGATCTTACATCATCTTCGATTGATTCAAACCATGGATGACGACTGTCTGTCATACATACGTGTACGATCGAACGATGGTTTTTTGGACGGCCCCACGACGGTGTCAAATTCCCTTGCCAGGTGGGGGTGAGTAGAAGAGTGGCATAAAGACCTGTTAGCGAGGGTCATCCGAAACCAGGACAATGCTATAAGTGTAGTGTCTTGTTGCAAGAACTCTTATGTACATCCAAAATACTCATGAATGGATATTATATTAAAACTTTTCATGACTGACCATAAGTATCTTAGGCATATTTGTGTAATTGCGACCAAGTATATTTTGGTCCAATTGATCAAACCAAGACTACCAGTGATTCCCAAAACCGCTTTGCCTTTTGCTCACAACAAATCAGAACACAACATTACATCCATGGTTCCCTTCGGCACTCTCCTAGCAAATGATCATGGAGCGGGATTAAGCCTACAATTTGGTGAGCCACAGTATCATTCATGGGAGGATAGCCCTTGTAGCCCAGCGAAATCTCGACTGGATTCTCGGGATTTCATCACGATACCCTTGGAAAACATCATGATCCGCGATCCATACGATCAAGATGAACATGAATTTGACTGTGGGTTACCATCAATAACACGTGATTCCAACTACTCTCTAGAAATTGATGACTGTGAGCGAGGTTGTTCTTCCCTTCCGATGTCTCTTCCGCTGCGCAATCTAACAGCCGACGAATCATCCAACGGAAAACAGTCTCTTCCAATCACAGAATCATCACGTGTTGCATTCTCCAAACAAGTGGAATGCTTTCAAATAGATACACTCGACTCCTATTCTCAAGAAGAATACGACGCGATGTGGTATACTCCAGAAGAGACCCAATCCATTCGAAGGGAATCCGTCAAAACTCTCAAAGTTATGCTCGGGGAAGCTCCATTGGAACAAGATGATGTAGTTTGTTTCCGAGGTCTCGAATACAAGGCCGGGCACCCTTTCCAGGCGCGTCAATCACGAAAAGCGTTAACTCGAAACAGTGTGCTCGATGAACAAGCATTGAACAAAGACTTGAAAGTATACAACCCTGAAGCCATTGCGGAGGTCTCCCGACAACGCAGCGCACCAAGCGTTGCGGCAGCCATTGAAGCTGCCCATAGGGACCATACACAAGATTGCGACCAATGGATGTATTACTTTGACGAAGACGAATGGACCTTTTCCAACGAAATCGCCAAGGTGAGCTGGCTACATGCCGCATTACCCATTGCTCCCAAGCTCAGTTACTTCAAAATGCTCCGAAGCAACCACCGAACACCCATCACAGTATAATATGTGTTCGCAGGTATATTATATAAATATTGCATGCATAAGAATAGACAACTCTAGACGTTATTTATACAAATTTGGATCAACTTGACTGCATGCAAAGCGATTGAGTGAGCAATGAGGGTCGCCGATTCCAAGCTCGTCTCTGATTACTATCCATCTATTCAGAGCTATCCGCGGCGTGCGTAATACTCCAATGGTATATCAAGTCACCGTCCTCGCCATGAGTCTAGTAGCTCCATCTGATGATGGATACGCAATTACGATAAACCAATATTTGTTGTTCTATTGATTATTAATACTTTTTATGTCTGTGTTTCATAAAGAGTCTCCTCGGTGCGAGATATGATTGCTCCGAAAAATTTTGTACAGTCTGATTCGTCCATCACAATACCGGCAAGGCTGTCATGTACGCCTTTTCGGCAAAGATGGAAGAATGTATTGCGCTCAAATCTGCAAGTGAGTATGGGTTGACGAAACCTGACTTTTTGAGTTCCCTTGCTTGTTGAGCTAGTACTCTTTGGACGGTAACCTTGGGTTTCCTCCTTCGCCGTCGTCGTCTTCTTGTTTGACGCACCGTAATAGAGCTTTTATCCGAGGCCGAAGAGTCATCGTCACTACAACTCTCCCTAGAGCTCTTGTGCTTCTCAAGAATTTGAAATCTGACAGTGCCATTGAAGGACACTTGTTTCTTCTTCTCAGAAGCAGCATTCTTCTCCTTCTTCTTCTTGGCGTTGAAACTGGGCAGCGGAGGTGGTGCAAGCGATGCGAGCCGACAGTCTTGGATCTGAAGGTAGCAAGGCTCGTGTAGTGGTGTAAGGATTCCCATGATACGATGACAGGAAAACTTGGATCTTTATGTGCTTTGTTGAGGAAAACTACGCTTTGACTGTCGGTTTTGTGACCGAAATGTGAGGAGATGCTTCTACTAAAAATTACGTTGGCCCCAAGGAAATAAATAGTTATGCCGATGACTTCTCAGCGAAAAGCGACGGAGTTTCTTTTCAACAAGCATGTCATGAGCAAGTGTTCTCTATATGATCTACTCGTGATTGCTTCAGTCACGCAAATCTGACGCAGAACTCGTATGAGTCCTACAGTAATTTTTCGAATAAATCAATCGACGCGACGACTGACGACACGAAAACACCGGTGGACTTCATATAACAAAAAGAAATCACTTTGATTGTTGTAATACCAATACCAAACAAAAAATGAAGTTTCTCTTGACAACTTCTTACCTTCTTTATGCTTCAACATCGGACGCTTTTGTACCTTTGATTCCAGTCAAATCACTTGCAAATCCAACACGATCAGAAGCACATCCACTTGACAACCATGATGATGATCGAAACATATCAGGCAATACTATCAAATCGAGCTTCCCTGTGAGCCAAACGATCCAGAGCGCACTTGCCGCTATGGTTATTACAATGTCAACGTTGGTGGTAACTCCATTACCCGCAACAGCTTCATCCTATGATTCACTTTCGCCCGAACAAAAGTTTGCCGCAGAGGCATGGAGAGAGGTCGATAGCACCTTCTTGGACCGCACCTTCAATGGACAAGACTGGTTCAAAATGCGCCAAGAGCTGGTGAAGAAAAAGTATAAATCAATGGACGAAGCTCAAGATGCAGTATCCAACCTAATGTCCACGTTGGGCGACAAATACACACGGTACCTGACACCTGCCAAGTATCAATCCATTTTCGACACTGCCACCGGTTCGCTGGCCGGAGTTGGGGTCGAAATTGCGACCAACAAGGAAGGAATACCCATGGTCTCTGATGTGGAACCCAACAGTCCAGCACTTAAGGCTGGTCTTCTGCCCATGGATCTCTTTGTGGAAGGAGATGGCTTCAAATTCGACAAATCGTCAACACCTGATGATGTCGCCATGAAAATACGTGGTCCAGAAGGTAGCAAGGTTGGAATTACTGTGCTTCGAAATGGAGAAACGAAGGATTTCATTGTTACTCGTCAGCCGATCAAGGTGACTTCCGTGCGAAGTTACATGAAGAACAGTGTGGGTGTAATTCGAATCAAGAGTTTTTCTGGAACGACTGCTGCCACTGTCAAGGAAACCTACCAAGACCTGATCAAGAAAGGAGCCAAAAAGGTTGTCTTTGATCTAAGAAGTAATCCTGGTGGCCTTTTGCCTGGTGGGGTAGAAACTGCTGGATTGTTCCTGGAAGCCAACAAGCCGGTAGTCTTTGTCGTCAGCAACAAAGGAGTCATCGACTCGCAGGAAACCTTTCAAGCTGGAATCGATACAGAGACACCGCTCGTGATATTGGTGGATCACAATACAGCCTCTGCTGCTGAAGTCTTCACTGCAGCACTGAAGGAAAACGACCGTGCCACGGTTGTTGGAGAACAGACATTTGGAAAGGGAATCATTCAAACCATTCGGCCACTTTCTGAGAACAATGGAGGTGTTGCTGTGACGTTGGCTCGCTACGAAACGCCAAAGCATAATGATATCAATAAGGCAGGCATCCCAGTGGATAAAGAAACCGATGTGGAATGCCCCAAGGACAATGCGTTCGCCTGTCTTCCACCCAACGTTTAATTTGCAATGATGTGAACCCCACTGTGCTAGCTAGCTACTATGCATTATAAATTCTTAAGCAATTCTGCATTGTAATTCTGCATTGTTTCTATATTCCAGTGCTCGATGAAGTCTATTGCTAGGTACCATTGCTTCACTTTCCTAACTACTACTAGCTTCGGCAGTACCTAGCTTCAGTCTGTGTCTCAACTACTGCTCGTCGTATCGTCTGGCTTTGTCTCTTGCGCTCCGTCCGAAGATTCTGCATAAGCTCCTGGTTCTGTGATCTTACCCGCCAAGGCTTCTTTGTAATAATTGGTGAAGTTGTAGTACTCTTGAAGAAACATATACTGGATAAAGTTGCTTTGTTGCTTTTCTTCTTCGACAATGTGTTGCCGGATCTTGTGCCGGAATGCCTTCCAACGTTCTTTCGCAGGCCCTTCTTGAGACCAATCCAAATTTGGCAAATCTTGATTCTGTGCCTTGCGACGGTTGTAACCCCCGAAAAAGCTCATTTCCAAAAAGAGGCCTTGTGCTGGTGCAATACCGACACGGACTCGTTCCGTCTTGTTCAATGCCTTGTCCATAATCTCGAGTGGTGCAGCTCCTCTGGCAACATCAATCGCCATGCTAATCATCTTTCGAATTTGATGCAATAGAAAACTTTGTCCCAACACTTGAGTGGGGATCCATTCCACTCCGTCAATCACAATTGGATCTTGCATCCGAAAGTATTCAATGAATCGATTCGCTTGTGGTTGGCCTGGCTGTAGTCCCTTTGTAAAGTTATGGAACGGATTCGTTCCCTTGTATCTGTCTAACGCTGCCTGTAGCCGCGAACGTTGTTCTTCTGTGGATCGATATCCCTCTACAGCCGTCTTTACTGCAGCAACCTGCTCCTCTGTCAATGGTGTTCGTTTCGCATTTTCCTCGCCTTCTTGTTTGACTTCCACAGTGATTCCCTGATCGGTCAATACTTGCTTCCAATCCTCCTGCAACATGAAGGAAGGAATCATGTACTGGTATCGGACCCGATCTCGTTGCGTCTTGGCGCACATGTTCCGAGTGGTTCGTAACATGTCCATGACCCGAATATCGGGAGGCAAATATTCTTCCAATCGTTTCCGAGCAGCTTCCAACTCGAGTTCACTACTAACGGGAGTTGATCTTTTGGTAGCACCAACGTCCTTCTCAACATCTTCTCCACTTTCCTTGACGGCGGCAATATTCTGTTTTTCCATTTCCTTGAGCTGTTGTTGGGATGGTTGGACTTCCGTTTCAAACAATTCCACCTTGAGCGAACATACTTGGGCACAGGCATGTACTCCTTTGTCTGTCCGTGCCGACATGCTCCAGGAATACTTGTGCGGTTTTCCAAAATTCATGTCGGAAATCATTCCGGCCCGATACAGGGCCAATTCAATTTCGGCCTGAATGCTCCTTTGGCCGCCATTGATCTGGAATCCAGCATATTTGGTCCCCACAAAGCCGCTGTAATAATTTGAAAGACAATGAGCGAGATTTGAGAATCATGCAGTCAAGGGAATTCATATTATTCCAAGAGGTCATGATGATGTTGTCACATTCAAGCATCAATCATTTCAGCAACCAACAACTTACAGTAAGAGCGCCACCTTTCTCTTTAGAGTATTTTGATCCTCCCCAATGATTGTACGTGGTTCTAAGGAAACTCCAAATTGTTGTCGCATTCCCTCAAAGGCAAACGATCCCTCATGTGGTGGCTTGTCTCGATCGTCCTTATTTTCGTCAAATCCATGTTTTCGTGTATGATGTGTGTTTGGGACATCTTTTTTGGATCGTTTGTTACTGTTGTTGTTGCGGCGATTGCTGTTTCGTTTTTGACCACTTTTGTTATTATTGTTGTTGCTGCCACTTTCATTAGTATTGTCACCTGCCATGATGATGATAGTTGGATGATATCTTCGTTTGGAGAAGGAGGAAGATGCTGGTGATGTTGGTAGTAGTAGGAACTGATGATGATTCTTGCTATGCGCTGGATTGTATGCAGCCACGAATGACTTATATTTATTGTTGCTTGGAAATCTTTGCAGTAATCGAAGTGTCGATTTCAACATGCAAAGCTTGCTATCGGTATGATTGTGTTGGATCTTGTGTGTTACTGTTGTTTGTTGTTTCTCGCGTGCTTCCACGAGAACCCATCACCTTCCCATCATGTTCGTTCGGTGGACAGACGATCACCGGATGAGGTACAGATTTCAGACTCATCCATTCGGCGCGGGAACCAAGTTTGAAAGTCGGCCGACGGGAAGATGACTGGCTCCCATCACATAACAGAAATGTCAACGGTCTTCATTCACTTACTGGTGCTTGGTGGACGAAAACAAACCAATACGATTGCTCACGTGTCACGTGGCACAGAGTTTACGTACTTAGGAGTATCACCACGTGAGGTTTCAGAAAATCCTACGTCGCCTGCACCCCTCCAAAGCAAGCAAAACAATGTTTGTAGTCACTTGTGGCGCGCTGGCAGGGTTCGTACCAATGCTGACAAATTTGAACCGTACAAAAATCACGTCTGTGTCGCCGGTCCAGTTTCAAATCAAATAAAAGTGCACGTGCCCTTTTTCGAGCGTGGAAGTTCGCAACGGATGAGAACAGGTTTTGTATTTCAATTCAAACCTCTCTTCATTTCGCCTCTCTTTCTGTGTGTGTGTACTTGTATGCTTGAAGTACAGTCAGTATCCATACGTACTGTAGTTGATTTTATCATTATCTACCATTGGTGATTGCATCATATTACCAGATTCCTGCCTTTGTCAAAAGAAAATAGAACGAAAAGAATGCCAAAACAAGAACAAGAAGAAGCGCAACCATTCAAAGTGGCCCTGTCCACCAAATTTGTGGTGACGAGCATCACCGCTAGTTGTGCCGTGGCCTTTGGAATGGGACGATTGGCCAAAATGACATTGACGACGCCCACAGCAGTGGCTTCCATAAAGAAGGATCCGGCACAAATTGACATGCCCACTCCGATAGCACCCAAAGGAAAGGAAGTTCCAGAAACCATTTACACTGCCAAGAACTTTGACACCCGCAAATCGGCCACCATTTTCTCACAATGGCTCCAGCAGGACCCGGAAGACTGGAATAACGTGCCAGAACCGATCAATGAACGTCTGAATGAGACCTACGAAGAGGACGACGAAGAGCACCTTCCAGCCGGGCAACACTTGCTCGTGGATATTGACAACATTGAAGCGGATTTCCTAGATTCGGAGGAACGCCTCGCGACTGCCATGGTAGACTTGGTCAATGGCTCTGGTTTGACATTGCTGTCGTATCATTGCCACGGAATGGTTCCGTCAGGAGTCAGTTGTGCTGGAGTCTTGTTGGAATCTCATGTTTCCTTTCATACCTGGCCTGCGGAAGGTGTCATCACCTTGGATTTGTTCACTTGTGGTTGCACTTCCCTACTTGACAGTATGAAGATCATTGAAAACCTCTTTGCCATTCCGCGAAATGGACCAGATGGGGATCAACCTACTGTCTTGTGGGCCTACAAGAGACGAGGTTTCAAGGATCAAATCTCCGACTTGCCACACAACAAACCTGGATCACCAAGAGATACCTTTGCGTATCCAATTGGAATCCACGGGCAGGATTACAAAAAGGATGTAAGTATATTATTATCCTCATGCAAGATATGCAATTGTGAAAATGTGCATGTCATTTGAAGCTTGTTTCTAATCCCACCCAATCACTCTTGACAACTATTCCCACAATTAAGGTTGCTTCTGCCGAGATTGCTCCCAACAAATTTGCATATGTGTATGATTACATTCAACGACCGCACCAAGACACGGCATTATACATGAAATCGATTTCCAACGACGGATCGTACGAATCCAAGAACCCAGAACTCTTTTCTCCCAACCGATTATTTTACTACAATGGAGTCTTCAAGTCCAGTAGTCTCGGGAACGCGGAAGCCTTTGAATCCATGGTGCACCCTGCCATGATGGCACACCCCGATCCAAAGAAGGTGTTGGTCTATGGATCAGCAACTGGTGCTGCCCTTCGAGAAGTCCTTAAACATACCACTGTCACTGAGGTTACCATGGTGGGTGTCGACACTACACTGATGCAATTTGCCCGCCAATATTTGCCAAGTTGGAATGATTGCTCCAACTTTGGACTGGCCAAGAACTGTTTCGACGACGCTAGAGTCAAGTTTGTCGACTCAGTTACCCCTTCCTCCAAGTTTGATGTCGTGGTGGTGGACACTGATTTCTTTGAGGGTGTGCACGATCAAGAATTCTTGAAGGGACTCGTGACTTTGTTGTCGGAACAAGGTGTTACGGTCTTTCATGTGACAAAAGACCGTCCAGCCGATATGGCCAGGGTCTTGCCCAAAGGATCCAAGGCATTCATTTTGGATACGAAGCGAACCGATTTCATGACCGAGCTGGAAAGTGCTGGATTTGGCCAAACCAAGGAATACAAGGAAAAGCAAGTTGGATTCGCCGAACCACGAAACCACGTTGTCGCATTCAAGGGTGGAGCTCTCAACTGGGGATTGAACGAAGCTCAAATAAACCGTGAACTTGTTCGCCGTACGGCTGTCACTACCTCTGGAGTTTCTGCTTTGAAGTTCTTTGATGGTGCCAAGATGACTACCTACAGCCGATTTTCCAATGGAAAGGGTGGACTAGATTGCATTTCGAGTCCTACCGAACAAGTCTGCGCCAACCGTGCTGGTATTGAGAGACAAGAGTCTTCGAACAACACTGGTGGGGACAAGCAATGCGGTGGATCACCGCAAATGCCCGCGTGCAAACATGCCGAATACCTGCAGCATGTGACTGCCGCTGCTGCAACTGTTTCATCATCTACTTGAAATAAGGTTTTTCAGTGCTGATACATCTTTACAGTAGAAGAATGGAATGAATGAATTGGGCGCATAGTGTTATATATATTAAGAGTTAAATGATAGAAAAAAAGTTTCATATCCTGCAGGATATACCGTGCAGTATATATGATGCAATGGGACTACGACCGAAAAGACTTTTAAAAGATGGATGGAGTGACAAGCTGTCTTATGATATATATATATATCATACCGATGCTTATTGATGGTGTGGCCACTGGTAGTCCACTTCTTCTTCTGGTAATGTCGCCTTGGCCTCTGTGTGTTTGACGCCCAAGACATCTTTCATGATGCGTCCGTTTAAAATGTAGGCTTCGGTATTCTTGGGATCCGCACTCCAACGAAAGCTTTCTCGTGCAAACTTTCTCGCGGTTTTTTCATAGACCGCCACGAAATGGCCAATGAACCTTACATAATAGTCGGCAAAGGTTGGACTTTTCTCCACCAATCCAGCCTGCCGCATGGCCCAAAAATGCAATCGCATCCAAACTCGACACTCGTCCAGTTGAAAGCGTCGACCCACTTGATCGGGCGAACGTTTGGGAGAAAACCAGGCGGCGATGTGGGCCGAGGTACGATCGCGGACAATGGCAACCCGATCGTTGGCAATGGTCACCGGAGTCAAGTCTCGAGTTTCTCGATCTTGGTCCCAAAGGTCGGAACCGGCCATTTTCTGATGAATCCACTTGGCAAATCGATCGGCATGGGGATCATCGCGGGATCGAATGAACTTGTCGAGGGTATGGTCCTTGAAGGCCAATTGGTAAAAATTATTGGTCATTTTCTTCAAATCGTCAAACGAGATTTCTTCTTGCATTAATCGTTTCGTGCTCTCTGTCGACTTGTGACTACCACTGTGGAGGGGAATGAATTGATAGGGCGATGGCTCCTCCTTGGAGGACGACGACGACGACGACGAGTTACCATGGTGGTGGTGATGCGCAAAGGGACAACCACCAACATTTGTAGAACGAATGGTGTCTTCTTCTTGCAGATCAGGATCCGAGGCCCGCAATGCATCACTGGCTTGTTGAATCTCGGGATCCATTGTTGTCGTTGTTATGACGATGCGTGTGTGCGTGTGTGGTGTGTGTGTGTGTCTGCGGTTGTCTGCTGGCTGGTGGTTTCTCAACAGCTGATGGTAATGCGATGATCAGATGGTGTACCGGTAGGCGAAATAAATTGTGCGTTCAGTGAGTGGGCCCACTACTGATCTATGCACTGTACACTGATTGATTGATTGATTGATTGATTGATGACTGACGCCTTTTGTAGAATAGAACACATGATATGTCTCAGAATTGGGCCACTGTCATGGTATTTTCCAGAAGGACATGAGAACATTCCAGAATTCAAGTCAGATACGACTAGTGCAGTACTTCTCGGTACTGCAGTAGTCCATCGCATCCGATCACGACACTACAGTACTGTATATTTTAGAAAATACAATAAGCTTATTGTCAGAGTCCAAAGCCATAGCTTTTGTGTTGCTGCAAACCGAGTAGGACGAAGATAAAAATCCAAGCAACGATGATTCTTCCCCGAGATGCATCTCTGTTTTGTTTGTTTCTGACCCTTATCACCACGAGCTGTACCTTTGCCTCCAATCAGGATGCCAATAATCCGCATCAAGATGATCTGCTTCCACCTCTGGAATCGGATTTCAAATCCTATCCCAACTTGGCCAACATTACCGACGAGGAAAGAGCTCTGTTTCATCCCATCCTGAAATTTCCAACGCACTTTAAAAAAATTCCAGTGTTGGATTGCACACAGGCGACTGGTCTAGCGACGGAATCCCAACGCAAACGATCCAAGATACGAGACAAGCTGTTTGGATTGGTCTGGAGAAATGTAATTGTTAATCTTATTACGGATTCAGAGGTGGTCCGAAAAGTGCCCTGGAAGAGTTCCAAATGGGGGTTTGGAAAATACGACGAAGATCGAAGAGCAATGTAGGTGCCAAAAAACAAGAAACGAATGAGTGAATGAATGAACGATGATTGCTTACTAAATGACATTGTGGCTGACGCATATATTGCAACTCTTTTATATACATATCATGTTATTATTTTTCAGGTACACCTCGTCCGTATTTGATGCGGAGAACGTTGTCGATGGATATTCGGGTGCTCGAACCGTCCATTTGGGCATTGATTTGGGAGCTCCAGTGGGAACCAAGGTGAGAGTAAATTATTTGAACACATACATGGTATATGGTGAATGCACCATTGATTTCCGCTATATTAACCAACCTGCACCACTCTATCACCATCATCTTTGAAAACAATGCAATCGACTGTAGGTGTACGCATTTGCCGATGGGGTGGTTCATTCTGTTGGGTACAATGAGGGTCATGGAGACTATGGTTTTGTGGTGGTAATTGAGCATACGCTACCACTATCGTCCACCAAAATATGGGCGCTCTATGGCCACATGGATCGAGCGACCAGCCGAAACAAATCACCAGGAACACCCATACAAAAAGGACAAGTTATTGGAGGCATTGGGGACTGTCATGAAAATGGTGGTTGGAGCGCGCCGCACTGTCATTTCCAAGTGTCGATGAGGCCGCCAATGACACACGATATGCCGGGGGCATGTTCCGTACAAGATCGACCTATTGCACTCAGCGAGTATTTTGATCCTCGTTATGTGCTTGGGCAAATATATTAGAATACTAGAAGATATGTAGCAAAAAACTGTTTCAGAACCATCTCGTCGATTGGGCATATTCTATGGATTATAGGTAGCATTCGGCATTGAATAGAACCAATCATCTCGGGCGTTTCGATCGCTCTTTCAGTTCTTTCTTTCGAAAGTCACGGTAATACTGGCTCACCTTTCTTTTCACAACTGCTGAGTCGGTCTCAACCCACATGTCGGATGTGTTTCGCTGAAGGAATCGGATTCCATCCGCAATAAGGATTTGAATCAGGTTGTCCGAAAACGCAGGTTTTCTGTGCCGCGGAGTATGTTCATAGCTGTCTTTGTGTTGCTCTAGGAACTCTCGAAAGCGGATATTGCCTGAATGCAACTGTAAGCGATACCCTTTGCCAAACAGAACGTCTGTTTCGGATGGATGAATTATCACTCCTTCCCTGGACGATGCCGCACCTCCAGCGACTCCAATGAATGGCCGTAGTTGATCGGCAAACTGCACATCTTCCATTGATCTTTCTCTTGTATCATTTGCATTCCTGTCGGCAAGTGGCGGAGTCAAGCGATTGAAATCGGTATCCACATTCTGAATCGAATTCGGCGTAGTATACCTAGCCTTGCATTCTTCTGCCTTTTGATTGCTTTCTTTCAGGTGCTTCTCGAACCATAGATTTAGTATATCTACACGTATCTTCCCATGAAAGTCCACTGGAAGTGTACTGATTGGAATTCCATGGCTCTGAAGTCTGTACTGAAGTTCCATATATGATCCATAATGAATACGAGTTCTGACACGAGCATACTGCGGTAAGCCGCTCATCAATAGACTAAGAAGTGTGTTGTTGAGACCCAGATTCCCTGTTGTGGTCTGTAGGCAGTAATGCATTGCCGAATACCGAATCGGCAACGATCTTGATAAGCATTGTGCGTTCAAAATGAAGCTCAGTCCAGGCATTTTGAACTCGTCCCCGGATCTTGCATCATCATGATAGATGGTCACCAGTCCCTTGCTCTCGACCTCCGGGAGAGCGATCATGATATTCCACCACATGTAATAGCAAACGCGTATCTACATGTCACAGTTCAATGGGCATGTTGTGAGCATCATCCACCGTGGCAAAAGTAAATGTTGAGCGATTCATTGGTACTCACAAAAGTTTCAGCCTTGCACTTGCCGAGCTTTTTGCTAAACATGTGCAGGATGACTCTTCCCTTTCGATCTCTTCCGTCTTGGATATGAAATAGGCCCGATAGCATCAATTGCACATCTTCTTCTGTTAAATCTGACATACCAATCTCTTGAGCAACCTTGTCATCACCAAAGTATTTTGCTTTTTGCTCAAGAAAACTCATCATCTGCCTGACAGATTTGCGAATATCGTAGAGCTTGGCCCTCAAAAACTTCAATCGAAACTTTGGGTCTTCCACATATGCTCTGTTCTGGTTTATGGCCATCTCATAGACAGAGTTCCGTTCCTTCTGTACTGCCTCTTCGAATTCCGCAAGCGATTTCTGAATCATTTCAGGCGTCTCACGGAGTTCTTCTCCGACACAATGTAAATCATCAAACGCCTTTGCTCGCTCTTGTACTGACAATCGGTTCATCTCTGAAGCGAGGAGGTCTTCAGTCTGTTTCATTTCGAGCTTGCTAATGTCTCCATTTGTATTCTTCCTGGGCATTTGAAATTGAATTGGAATGCTCTTGTCTTTTGCTTGATCATTAAAGTTGAAAGTTGGTAAACAGGCCTGTCTCACAAAAGGGTTGTTTGGGAGAGAAGATGCCATTGCCATCGGATGAGCATGAAGTCTTGCTGATATTGTAGCGGAATTGTACTTGAGGCATTTATGCGGCAAAACTCAGAAAAGGCCTCATTGAGCGGTTTCTGTGCGCGTGAAGCAACATGAGAGGAGCGGGAGGAAAGGGGTCTCGCACTGTCAGCTTTTTTCCCGTCAGCTTTCGAATGCCTACACTTTTTATTTTTAAAAAACGTCACGATGTACCTATACCGGTGCCGGTACCTGGTACCGGTAGCGTTCATCCAACTTGAAACGGAACTATTTAAAAATAACGGTCAGCTTTTTTACCCCGCCTACCAGTACAGGTGAAAAAATCTGGTTCGTTTCGGGTTGGTTCGCGGATGGTAACGGTAGTAAAAAAATAGAAGTGGCACTTTTCGAGCTCTCGAGAAACTCTTAGAAAACTGGGCATCAAGCAACGCTTGCACACAAGTTCGATCTGAACTTGTTAGTACTAATATAGTTTCTGCATACATGTCTGCCAAGATACCATTATTGCTACAAACGTAGCACCATATGAAAGACTTCCAGTTTTCTAGTACGGTAGGAAGTAGTTGGAGCAACGGGGTTTGAAGAGTGGAATTCCGCTACTGTACGTACACGTTTAATCCATATTTACAGTTGGAGTCATTTTGCACTTAACACTGTGACATAATTTGGGATTTTACATTTTCTTTGCAGACGGGAATTCATACGTAGCTAAAGTACTAAGCGCTACGAGTAGCATTCTCACCCACAAAATGGCAATTCCTTGACATCATCGTGCAGCTTATTGGCATACAATCAATGTTGTGCGTTGTCATCGTTTCCGTTTGCAATCTCCGTGTTATGCTTGCTTGCAATCTCCATTTCGTATCCTCGGACCATAAGCAGTCCACTCCTCCAGTCAACTAGCTAGGCTCAGGAGCGAGGAGTTTAAAACTGTGTGTCCCAACACAAGTCGGACGACCAAAGCTTGAGCAAGCCATAAAAACCCGCTAATGATAGTTTGGCGCCTAGCCCAGACCAGCTGTGTTAGGACTGCCCTAGCATGTACTCTTGAAAGATGGGGTGTGGGTCGAGTTCAATAAATCCGTGGATGTACACTTCTGCTGTGATGGTTCTTCGGTCAAAGAATCTATGCATGAAGTGTCCATCACTACAGCAGGTCGGAATATAGTGGAAGCACCCAACAATATGCCCACTAATAGTTATTATAGATCGCTTGCTTATAGTGTTTCAAATTATTTGTAGTTGCATAGTGGACACCCAACATCTTTCAATCATAAAGATGTCATTAACACAACAATCACACCATGCCGCATTTCATCACACCCCGCAGTATTTCAGATATTCGGACACAACAATCACATCATGCAGTATATGCGAGTGAGTAGGTAGTGGAAATGCGACTCGACGATCAAACATTGGAGTGACAAAACGCATTTCTCTCATTATCATCAAAGATCATGAATCTGGAGATTCGAGATGATGTCTTGTTGAGACTGACTCAACTACAAGATTACAGTGGATGGGAATGTAACTCGATCTTCCAGAGAAAGTGTCCGATATTTTTCGTAAACAAGTCGCAAGAAGACTACAGATGTTGTTACTACACGTCAGATGGGAGTTTCCATCGTCGATTCAGGCAGTGGATCACAAAAATCTTTTGTGGGTTTCAAATATCGAAGTTTTGGATTACGCCAAAACTTACTGTAGATGTCAACCATGTATTTCGCGCCATCGCGCGAGGATGCTAGACCGGGCATACTCGGGCAAAAAACTGGCAGAAATGCCATCCATAGAGCATGGTACTTTAGCTACGTATGAATTCCCGTCTGCAAACAAAATGTAAAATCCCATATTATGTCATTGTGTTAAGTGCAAAATGACTCCTACTGTAAATATGGATTAAACGTGTACGTCAAGAAATGTTTGATCACGAACGCTAACATTTGGGCGCTCTTTTTCGTGAAAAACCCTGCTGCTACAGTAGTTGTTAGTTACGCGTACGCTATAGCAATGCAAGCGCAGACTGAAGAAGCAGGAATTCGAACCATTGAAATTGACGACCCTCGTTGCAGCATTGCACTACATATCGACAAGAACCTTTTATACCACTTCAAGAGTGGAATATTCCCGTCATCGGCCTCGTGCTTCTTTTGACCTTTTCTTTCGCAGCTCGTTGCAACAAGAATGATATTTTAGCGGGAAATACATAAAGAAACTTTGTTTAGTAGTAGTATTACTAGTAAATGTAGTACACATAGTGACAAGAACCTATGATTCTGCTTGGCGAGTGGCATGCTCCTTTTCCTTACAAGTTATCTGGATCGTTTTCTTGTAGTGAAGAAGGGATATTATGACATTTTTATCGGCCTCCTTTTGATCGTTTCTTTCGCAGCTCCCGGAAAAACTGAGCCACCTTTGTCTCTGCTTGTGCAAAATCGCTCTCAACCCATTCATCAGACCCCACTTTCTGGAGAAATCGGACACCGTTGTTCCGAAGCATTTGGGCGAGTTTGATTGCAATATCTCGTCTGTCCTGTCGCGGAGTGCTCTCATACTCGCCTCGACGCTGCTCTAGGAACTTTCGAAAGCGGACATTGCCAGGATGCAACTGCAGCCGATACCCTTTTCCAAACAGCACATCCATCTCAGTCGGCCTTATTGGCCCTGTCAAACGATCTATCTCCAGAGTATTACTACCCCCCACTTCAGTTGATGATGCGCACATTGCTGGGCTGCATACTTCCACCTCTAAAGCCTCTATTGCATTGTCTTCATTCGTCTCATAGCGCAGATGCTGGTGGTGTTTCATAAGGTCCTTTTCTGTCTCAATATCTTGAGACCAGCCCCGAGCGACCTCGGGTTCGTGGTAGTAGAAGCGAATGCTTTGATTGGACTCTATAAGATGCCTGTCGATCCAGACATTCAGAATATCATGACGAATATTCCCTTGTACTCCAAACGGTATCTTGGACAAGGGAATACCGTAGCTTTGGAGTTGATACCGAAGCTCCATGATGGACCCATAATGTATTCGAGTTCTCACGCGAGCATGTTGAGGCAGTGCATTCAGGAACAGAGTGACAAGAACATTGTTCAGCGCAAGATTTTGCGATTTGGCCTGTAGGCAGTAGTGGATTCCAGAATATCGAGTTGGCACCGATTCAAAGAATCCTTGGGTTTCTTTAATGAATTTCAATCCAGGCATTGTAAAGGTTTCCCCGGGTAACGTAGCATCGTTGTAGACTGCCACAATTCCCTTCCTTTGCACATCCGGTATGGAGGACAACATGTTGACAAAACAATAGTAACCGAACCGAATCTGAATAATGAAGCACTTGGTCGTTCAGCAAACATACACATGTCAGGCGTTCGAGGTCGGAAGAAAGGTATAGACTTACCAGGTTATCAGCTTTACACCGGCTGAGTAGTTTGCCGAAAAAGTGTAGGACAACTCTGCCTCTTCGATCTCTCCCATCTTGGATGTGAAATACTCCCGATATCATTAGCTGCTTGTCCTCCTCACTCAGGTCATCCAATGTTATTTCTCGACCAACCTTGTCATGACCGAAGTATTTCGCTTTGCACTCGAGAAGACTCATCATCTTCCGAACCGCTTCACGAACATTGTGCAGACTGGCTCTCAAGAACTTGAGACGAAAGGTAGGGTCTTCCACGTATGCTCTGTTTTGATTGATGGCCATCTCGTAGATTGGGTTTCGTTCCTTCCGTACTGCATCTTCGAATTCCGCAAGCGATCTCTTAATCAGTGCAGGCGTCTCATGGATTTCTACTCCTACACAGTGTAGGTCATCCAATGCCTTTGACCGCTCTTGCACCGACAATTTGCTCATCTCTGATGCGAGGAGCGCTTCAGTTTGTTTCATTTCTGGCTTGCTTATGTCATCGTAGTGAGTATTCTTCCTAGGCATTTGAAATCGATTTGGAATGCTCTTGTCTTTTGCTTGATCATCGTTGTTGAAACAAGGTAGACATGCCTGACTTGAGAAAGGGTTGTTGGGGAGAGGGGAAGCCATTGCTCATCAACGGAGATGAAGTCTTGATGATGAGTTAAACTACTGGGTTTTTGTGAGAGGAACTACAATAATGCGGACTGCGGTGGACGAGTGGAGTGATCCCGAAAAGTCAAGAAGGCTCGCAGTTTTTATTATACAATAATAGGCCTTGTACCAAATAAGAAAGACCAGAATTAATTTTCTTTTTTCTATTCGAGCGCTCGCTTCGTTTTAGTTACGGGATTTCGCGTACACGAGATCAGATAATTCCATCAAATCGGGGTTTCCCGTCACCATATCCTTTTGTGGTAGCTTAAATTTAAAACAGCGTTGACATTTTATTCTGCAATTTTCTCTGTTGGTGAGTCAAATGTATGATGGTGAGCTTGGACTAAGGAAGACGGGAGCATTTTTAGAATTGTACCTACGACACTGATCCGCCGAGCCTTCGGTTTACGTACGGGAATTTCACTTTGAATCTCTCCCGTCACCATCCTGCCTATAACAGCGTCGTTGCATATGTTACTCTATAAAAGACACTCCTCTTGTGCAGTCACTGGAGCGATCCTGGAAAGTTTTGTAAAGTCTAAACTTCCAAGAGGCTCAATTTTTAGGCCTTGTACTGGGTATTTGTGAGAGGAGCCACAAAACGGACTGGTGGAACTAATGCTCTTTTTTTTTAACGGAGAAAGACGGTTGTCTATGAGCGCTCATCGGCCAAGACTTCCTTTTGCTTTTACGGGAATGTCACTTTGCGTCCACATCAGGATCCGGCAATTCCATCAATTCGGGGTTTCCCGTCACCATTCTTCTGTGGTAGTTTAAAAACGTCGGCATATTATTCTCTGGTATCCTGCAAGAACACCCAAGGGCTCGATTGGCGGTGTTCGAATCGCCAGCTGCCAGCACGTACATACCGAAAGTTCGAACGACGTGACTTCGCAATGAGTGAAGAAGGCTTTTCGAATCGTTCGTGTTCAAAAGAGTCAAGTCAAGGCTCAAGTGCTAAGAGCAAGAGGAGGAGGGAACAAAGAATCAATTTCGAACTACTAGGTTGGCAATGCTGTCACCTGCACTTTTTAGTCAATAGCTTCATCAGGCACTATTCTATCTGAGGTAGCCTACTTGCGCTTGGTGTTTGTCTTGGTCCTGTCTGAGTGGAGGAGTCTAATACCTGGCGAGTTCTTGTTGCGTGAAACGAGATTTCTGAGACCTGCTTGCCTACTGGGTACCATCGCTTACTAGAAGAAAGGCGATGGCGCCCAACAGGGTGGGAAATGAAGGGAAAGAAAATGAATTGGGCTGTCAATAGACGTATCAATTCGACCAGTCGCAATTGTAACTAAGCTATCATTGCCTACCTGTCATAACGTGACTGACTGGACTGCCGAGTCCCAAGCAGATATATTAGAGCGATCGAAGGCCAACGGTCGTTGCCAATCTCAAGCCCAAGATCAATCATCTATCATCTACTCACAGCTGCTTCAGACCCCCGTAAATACACCCCAATAGCAATATCAATCACCGTCTATCATGTCCAACAGTAGCTACATCAACGCACT